GAAGGTTTATTTTCTTGGTTCTTTCGGTAAAGTCACGTAGAAGGGAAGTAATAAAATAATAAAAATAAAACATAATAAAACAATTCTCACGACGTTTCGGCCACAACGCAAGCAGCCGTCCTCAGGTGAAAACCAGGTCCGTCGAGGCGACAGAGTCTGAATGAAACAGCACACGGGCTTAGAGCATATATATAAGCTGGGCGCATTGACAAAGGAATTTGCATATCAACAGGAATTTAGCATATTTATGGGAAATGCAGGAATGTAATTAGTACTGCATATGCATGTGCATTATGCAGGATTAACAGCATCAAAGGGAGCTGCAGTTACTGCTGCTGCAGCAGTTGCTGCTGCTGCTGCAGTTTCTGCTGCTGCTGCAGTTGCTGCTGCTGCAGTTGCTGCTGCTGCTGCTGCACTTGCTGCTGCTGCTGCACTTGCTGCTGCTGCTGCACTTGCTACTGCTGCTGCACTTGCTGCTGCTGCTGCAGTTGCTGCCTTATCCATTTTAATATAACACTATGTATTATTCTACCCACCCTAATGTGTATCATACTGCTATATGTTTACTGTACAATTACGACACCATACATTACTCTGCACACTGCACCATGCCAGTGAGTGGAACGCGGTCTGAAAGTCACCGTTAACGTGAACACAATCAGTTAAGATCCGAAATGGTTTATTACGTCCTTCCAATGATTGCTAAGCCAGAATCCATCTTCTCGGTTGAAATTGTCTCTGTGTTTGTATATGTGGATCGCCTCATGAACGAATCTCTCATGATAGCCAGATGGCTTGCAGAGAACCTCTGTCTTGGAGAAGTCAATGTCATGTGAGCCCACTGAATTGTAACAGTGATCTGCCACGGCTGAGGTGTTTGTCCTACCGTGTTTCAGGTCTGCCTTATGTTCACGGATGCGGTCCGAGACATGTTACATTGGAGAAACCAAACGACATGTCTCGGACCGCATCCGTGAACATAAGGCAGACCTGAAACACGGTAGGACAAACACCTCAGCCGTGGCAGATCACTGTTACAATTCAGTGGGCTCACATGACATTGACTTCTCCAAGACAGAGGTTCTTTGCAAGCCATCTGGCTATCATGAGAGATTCGTTCATGAGGCGATCCACATATACAAACACAGAGACAATTTCAACCGAGAAGATGGATTCTGGCTTAGCAATCATTGGAAGGACGTAATAAACCATTTCGGATCTTAACTGATTGTGTTCACGTTAACGGTGACTTTCAGACCGCGTTCCACTCACTGGCATGGTGCAGTGTGCAGAGTAATGTATGGTGTCGTAATTGTACAGTAAACATATAGCAGTATGATACACATTAGGGTGGGTAGAATAATACATAGTGTTATATTAAAATGGATAAGGCAGCAACTGCAGCAGCAGCAAGTGCAGCAGCAGCAGCAAGTGCAGCAGCAGCAGCAAGTGCAGCAGCAGCAGCAAGTGCAGCAGCAGCAAGTGCAGCAGCAGCAGCAAGTGCAGCAGCAGCAACTGCAGCAGCAGCAGCAACTGCAGCAGCAGCAGAAACTGCTGCAGCAGCAGTAACTGCAGCTCCCTTTGATGCTGTTAATCCTGCATAATGCACATGCATATGCAGTACTAATTACATTCCTGCATTTCCCATAAATATGCTAAATTCCTGTTGATATGCAAATTCCTTTGTCAATGCGCCCAGCTTATATATATGCTCTAAGCCCGTGTGCTGTTTCATTCAGACTCTGTCGCCTCGACGGACCTGGTTTTCACCTGAGGACGGCTGCTTGCGTTGTGGCCGAAACGTCGTGAGAATTGTTTTATTATGTTTTATTTTTATTATTTTATTACTTCCCTTCTACGTGACTTTACCGAAAGAACCAAGAAGATGAATCCCTGCAGTCACGAAAGCTTTAAATCGAAATGAAGGTTTATTGTTTACTATTATTAAACAAATAAGTTTACAAATATTACAATGATAATGTTTCTGTGCATGTGAGTCGATGGGTTTCTATGTGTGTGGCTCCATGTCTGTGTGTAAGTCCATGTGTGTGTCTATCTTTCTCAAACGGACAACGCCCCATGTGTGTGTACACGTACAAGTGTTTGTGTGTGTCAGTCTATTTGTGTGCGTATCAGTCGCTGTGTGTGTGTAAGTCCACATGTGTGTGTAAGTCCATACGTGTGTGTTTCACTCGATGTGTGTGTAAGTCCATACGTGTGTTTCACTCGATGTGTGTGTGTCGAAGTGAATGCGTGTGTGTGAGTCGATGTGTGTGCATGGCTCCATCTGAGTGTGTAAGTCAATGTGCGTTTGTGTGTCTATGTGTGTCAGTCGATGTGTGTGTGTTAATCCATGTGTGTGTATCTAAAAGAAGATGTCTGTGTGTCACAGTCCATATGTCTATGTGTGTGGAGGGCAATGTGTGTGTCAGTCTATGTGTGTGTGTGTGAGTCCATTTGTGTGTGTCTTAGTCGATATGTGTGTGTGTAAGTACATGTGTGTTTACGTCAATGTGTGTGTGAGTACACGTATGTCAGTGTGTGAGTTGATGTGTGTGTGTGAGTCGCTGTATGTGTGTACGTCAATATATGTGTGTGTAACTCCATGTGTGTGTATATAAAGTGCATGTCTATGCGTGTGTGAGTCCATATGTGTGTGTGTGTAATTCCATGTGTTTGTGTGTGTGAGTCGATATGTCTGTGTGTGTCAGTCCATGGGCGTCTGTGTTAGTCGCTTTGTGTGCATGGCTCCATGCACACAAAGCCTGGCCTCTGGGTTGTTTTTCATGCTTTCGGAGTCCCTCAAACTTTGCTCACGATCCTTAAGGACCTTCATGATGGTGAGCGGCCCCGCGTCAAACTACGTGGCCGTCAGTCAGAGCCATTCCCTCTACACCTTGGGGTGGTGACAGGGATGTCCTCTGGCTCCACATTATTTAACACATCTTTTGAGCACGTAGTTCGTGAAACCTTCAATGGCTGTACCCGAGGAATTACCATATGCTACAGATACAATGGGAGGCTGATCGATGCCCGGGTGCGGTCACGGGATGCCTCCCTATTGCTCAACCATATTATGTATGCCGATGCTCTGGTGATTGCTGCTCACTGCTGCTCAACCTGGAGCTTGCCACTAAGAGGTGGGGCCTTACCATCAGCCCCACCAAAACTAAGCACCTGCCTGGGTATTATGTACCATCGAACAATCCACCCCCACAACTCACAATTGGTGATGCGGCAGTTGTGGAGAGATTGCCGAGATTCCCATACCTGGCCAGTGTGCTCATGACCAGCTCCGGTTTAACAGCAGTGGGTCTCACTCAAAATCAGTCGAGCGCCATTGTCTTTTCATCGGCTGCGTTACACTGTGTGGAAGCTACCTGCTCTCTCGCTCCACATAAAGCTCCAGGTCTTCTCGGCCACGGTAATTCCCTCCCTTCTCTACGCTTGCGAAACGTGCACCCCCCTAATGGAACATCTTCGTCGGTTAGAAACACTGAGGCTGGCCTGCTAAAGATCCATCTTGGGTTTAACCATATATGTGTGTGTGTGCGTCTAAGTCGATGTGTTTCTATGTGTGTGGGTCAATGTCTGTGTGTAAGTTCACGTGTGTGTCTGTCTTTTTTGCCCGAGCAACGCCGGGTACTTACCGCTAGTACATGTATATCTATGGATGTCTGTATCTCTATGGGCCTCTGTGCATCTCTGTGGGTCTTTATGTGTATGTATATATATATATATATATCTGGGTCTCTATGTGTATCTATGCGTCTCTGTGTATATCTTTTGGTATCTGTATCTCTCTGGGTCTCTGTGTATTTATGGGTTTCTGTGTATCTATGGGTATCTGTATCTATATGTGTATCTATTGGTGTATGTGTGTATCTACAGGTCTCTCTGTGTATCTATGGGAATCTGAGTCTCTATGGGGCTCTATGCATATCTTTATGCGTTTAGAGTATTTACCTGCCGCTATATACTTCCATGTGATAAGCCGCTTGGTTGAGCTGCTATAAATTTGTGACGGCCAGGTCGCTTCTGAAAAAGAGTTACACAGCAACTCATTGTGACCTTACCTGGTAAAATAACACGTAGTAAATAGTAGCAGTACGAGTACGTCCAAACGAGGAGACGGAGCGTTTGGCATATCCTTTGCATTGCAGAGCCGTGAAACATTTCAGTCGGCTTCGGGTAAGGCTTTCATCCAGCAGCAGATTGATTATAATCAATTATTGAATGACGTCGAGGAATGTTTAACCACGTGTCATCCTTCGAGACTCAAAATTCTGTCCGGAGATTTCAATCTCGGGAAAATTCCGAGAAACCCCTTCCCTACCTGACACCTGTACCCTACATCCCCCGGAGGTCGATTCACCTTAACAACAACAAAACACACCGATACAGTGTAGTGTGAATCATCATTGGCACGTAGGCTTGGGGTGTGGTCCTGCCCACGCACGGACCACGACAAAGATAACAATTCCCCATATAGCCTTAACAGACTGTTGGGGCAAGTGCTGTTAGCAAGCACCTATGAAGGCCGGCATGGCACACGAGGGAGTGGGTGGCCACCTTTGTCTCTCTAGTGGCGATATGTACACATCACACCAGGTACTCATTTGAGGCTGAGTCGATCTGGGGGAGGCCCAGGACCGGTTCAGATAATCGTCACTGGTGATGGCTGTGAGCGGGAATCGAACCCGGGTCGCCGAGCTCACAGCGCAGCGCGCTAACCGCTACGCCACCGCTCCCCACCAGCACTTGCCCTCCCAGCAAGCACAGTGTGTGTGGGGCTATCCTGGGGGCCGCTTTGTCTTCGTGCCTCTCTCATCGATTACGAACTAGGCCCTCCCTTAAAATGGGAAAGGGGAGAGAGTCCAGAATTGGCCCACGTGACGCCGAGTGAAGTCGCCTCTGTGGCTCCATCTGAATGTGAAATTGCAGTTGTCGCTCTGCCATCTACATCAGCCGCTCAATTCTGCTGTGAATCTTCTCTGCAGGTGCTATTCCTGCAGGAACTGTCTGGCGCCAAGGAGTGTGGCGATGGATTCTACAAATCATCAAATGAAGTCTGCTGTGAGCTGTGCCGTGCAGGTAAAGCAACACAGATATGGAGACTCCCAATGTATGTGCCTCTGTGGAATGGCAAAGTGTGGTGACCGGGTGCTTCCTTTCCTCCACCCAAGTCAGCTTCTCTCACTGCATTCTAGGCTATGGGGTTGGTGGTTACTGGAGAAATGAGAGATGTTAGGCACTTGAGAAATGTATTGCTGTCAAAGAGTTAACCAACGTAGAAGTCAATTAAAAAGGGTGCGCCATAGAAGAAGACAACCTGATGATGATGATGATTGATGCAGGCAGTGATCAAAGGGAAACTGACATTATTTCATACCTGTCAACCCTTATCAGTGCCTTATCTTAATACAGACCAATTCAGACCTTATTGGTCACCCCTTGTCCTTTTAAATCTTAACGTTTATCCTACAAAGTCCCATCACAAGGTAGAAACTCCAACAAATAGACACAAAAATTGCCTGTATTGAAACGGCTGAACGCTGTATGGACCTGAAAACGAAATTTCCCGGTAATAAATATGGGTAAACCATATGGGTTGACAGGTATGCTATTTGGACACACATGTGTCGTCGGATGGACAACGACAAGAAATGTAAAAGTGTGTTATTGTTGTTGTTCGGTAAAATGGAAGGAACCAGAAAGAGAGGAAGTCCTAACAGAGAATGGCTTGACAACGACATCATTAGAGATTGGTGCCAGAAAGATGTGGCCACTACTTGAGCATATTGGCATTACAAGACAGGGAAGAAAGTGGAAACAAAACATAACAAATGTGCAGTGGACACCTACTACTAAGACTATCTGCCCACGGACCATGATGATGATGATACACGACACTATGCATTACACTACACGACGTTATGCACTACACTACTATACACGACACTACGCTATACACTATTCTATACACACAGATAAATTGCTGGATCACCGCCACACGGGGTTATTCCACACACGCACACAAGCTAACGCTAATGCTGCCGGCGATCAGACTCTGAGAAGCTCCCGCACTAAGCCTGACTCTAAATGGCTGCATGAATGCATGCGGGCATCTGCGGGCGGTCATATGCTAATCCGCTTCCACACAAAGAGCGTTAAGCGGCTGCACAAATATGCATGCCGGCAGGTGATTTTTCGCAACCCCGCACCCACCCTAATACTCGTGTGCGAGCGTCGGCGGCCATTTATGTTTTAATACAAGCGCACGCCTCACACACACACTCAAATTACCAGCACCACGCTGGGGTTCCACACACACACATCACACTGCAGTGATACTCTGTACTAAAGTTTCTTAACGGCGCAAATACACACGAGCTGGGGGGAATATTTCGTGAGACGAGCTCGGCCTGACTCTGCCTACGAACCCAGTCGCTCAAACGTCCTACCACGTACCTTGAAGCTGTCCTCACAGCATCGCACGGACGCTGTGCGAGTCGGAGAGAGAAGGACGAGAGAAAACTTTCCCTATCGCTGCCTCGTAGCAGCACTCGCTGGCATCACACGGATGCTACGAGGGGCTCGAGGAGGCAGGACGGCAGGGAGTGGGTCTTGACGGCCCGGAGGTTGAAGACAAGAGACTCAAATCGTCCTGGGCTACTCTTTTTATTCTCTAAACTTCAAAGGCCCAGGGTGACGTCGTTCCACGCAGCCAACCATGCGCTTACCTGCGCCGCCGTGCCTTTTTACCTTCTCTAAATGGAGTGCCACAGAGTGTGCTGCTGCTCCGCTCACCCATTATTCTCCCGTTCTCATTCATTCTAACCTACTGGTATGCCCTTCTTGCCTAATATTCCACCCTCAGCCTCTCTCAATGTCGTGAATAACTTATTGCAGTTGGCCTAGTGAACCTTTTCCTTCTGCGCCCATACAATTTTAAGCCAATTTAGGGGCACCACAATGTAACCTGTCCTGTAAGGGTCGGCAAATCTCCCAGTACCGGGAAACCATGGGACTCTCCCTCTAGGGGCCCTTTGGATTAAAACTCGATGTGCCAGGCAATCCCCTGCCAGGACACTACGTGGGTGCAAGTGCTGCGTGTGTGCATGTGCTTATCGTGGGGGGTAGTGGATAATCGCGGCGTTTGCGGAGTTGTTCTGCGGTGGTGGCACCACAGAGGCAGACAAAGGGATATCGGACTCGGTATGCAAGTAAATTTGAGTGTCGTCCGCAGAGCAATGAAACTTTAGCCCGATATTTTGGAGCAAATGACCAAGTCGGACAATATAAATACAAAGGAGAAGAGGGCCAAGAACTGAACCCTGAGGAACCCCAAATGAAACAGAGCTGGGAGCAGATTTAAAATCTCCTATAAATACGAAATGTTCCTGATAAGATACATAGATCTGAACCACCTAAGAGCAGGTCCTGAAACCGCCATGATACTTTCCCAATGATCAGTCAAGATGTCATGATCGATGGTGTCAAAGGATAAACTCAGATCCAGCAAAGCGAGAATACTGGGTGAGCCAGAGTCAGCAGCAATCAAAAGGCCGTTCACCACTTTAACCAGAGCTGTCTCAGTGTTGTGTCCAGCCCTGAACCCAGACTGAAATGGATCCAGAAAATCATTAGAGGACAAATGGTGGTTGAACTGCAAGGCAACCAGGCCTTCAGGAACCTTGGATAGGAAGGGTCGATTGGAGATTGGGCGATAATTATTTGGAACCTCAGAATCAAGGCCAGTCTTTTTCAGGAGAGGGATGACAGCTGTAAGTTTGAAGGTGGAAGGGATAATACCAGAGCTGAGAGGTAGATTAAAAATGTTGGTTGCAAATGGGAAGAGTAAATTTACATTTTCTTGAATTAATTTGGTAGAGAAGGGATCGAGGGAACATGTGATGACCAGCCAAGAAAGAGCAGGCTGTGTGTGGAGACGATGAGGGAAGGCCACACCAGCTTGTAAGTTAGATAATCTTGACAAAAACGCAATAAAAAAATATTAATAACTAAATTTCGATTTAATGCTTTCGTGACTGCAGGGATTCATCTTCTTGGTTCTTTCGGTAAAGTCACGTAGAATGGAAATAATAAAACGTCGTGAGAATTATTTTATAACGTTTTTATTTTTTATTATTTAATTATTTCCATGCTACGTGACTTTACCGAAAGAACCAAGTCGTGAGACTTATTTTATTATGTTTCATTTTTATTATTTTATTATTTCCCTTCTGCGTGACTTTACCGAAAGAACCAAGAAGATATTAATAACTAGTAATAAAGTGCTAACACTTTGAATTTTGCTTAAAAGTAACTCAGATTAATGCGAATAATAATAAAATAATCCCAGTGGGAGAGGCAAGATTGCCCACGTCCCATGCAGGTGGCCACTACTTGACCGTATTTGCACTACAAGACGAAATGTGATAAACAAACGACGAAATGTGCAGTGGAAAACCTATGGATCGTGATGATGACTGAAAAAATGAGTTCAGTTGAGCCACTGCCCCTAACATAACTTAACGCTGGTTGACTGTCAGTGCAGCCCGTGACTCACCAAACCAACTTGTCATCACGTGTGTGTGTCTGTGCGTGTGTCTGTGCGTGGGGAGCGGTAGTGTAGCGGTTAGCGCGCTGCGCTATGATCCTGGCGACCCGGGTTCGATTCCCGCTCACGTCCAACACCAGTGACGATTATCTGAACCGGTCCTGGGCCTCCCCGAGGTCGACTCAGCCTTAAATGAGTACCTGGTGCGGTGTGTAAACATCGCCACTGGGGAGACAAAGGCGGTCGGGCGTGGTGCTGGCTCACCCACCCCCTCGTGTACCGTTCTGGCCTTCATAGGTGCTCGCTAACAGCACTTGCCCCTACAGTCTGTTAAGGCTACACGGGGGATCTTTGTAGCGGTTAATGCTTGGCGCTACGAACCCGGTGACCAGTGTTGAATTCCAGCTCAGAGCCAACACCAGTGACGATTATCTGAACCAGACCTGGGCCTCTCCTAGGTCGACTCAGACTCAAATGACTACCTGGTGCAGTGTGTAAACAACGCCACTGGGGAGACAAAGGTGGTAGAGCATTTGCGCCAAAAGTCTGTTAAAGGCTATACAGGAGATCTTTGTCTGTGTTTACAACAACTCAATTGTTGCTCACACCTCTTTGCCTTTCAGGGATGCACAAAGTGATGGACTGCATAGGTGAAGGAAAGGGTGCCTTGTGTGAGCAGTGCCCTAAGGGCACATTCATAGACAGAGACAACCAGGAGAAGGTGTGTCCGTCATGCAGCAGCTGTGGACCAGGTAAGTGACAGCACAGCAAAGTAGGCGTTTCCCCTCTATATGTAGTGTGTGTCCTTTTGCATGTGGCATAGATATTGTTTCATCACCGTCAGGATCCATGTACAGATAGCCCCGTAGTAGGTGTCCACTGCACGTGACGATGCGTGACGATGTGTGACAAGGGGGGGGGGGGGGGGGGTTGAGAAATGTGACGTTACATAAAAATGCACAACTTTAAATAACACGTTCTATTTAATTACATAGACTTTTTAATAAATGTTTTCTCCTACAACATCAGAGTGCAGCGCCACATTAAATACGCACTACAATGACAATAGTTTAAAGCGATTTGAAGCATGTTTTTTTTTTGGGGGGGGGGGGCAGAGCTTTGTGACGTCATATTTGAGGGGGGTCTGACTTTTTGTGACGCCGTGTGACGAAGGAGGGGGGGTCAAAAATCGTCCAAAATCGCGTGACGTCATTTATAGACGGCCCCTTGTGCCAATATGCTCAAGTCGTGCCACATGTGTCTAGTACCAATCTCTTGCGATGTCATTAAACCATTCTCTGTTAGGTCTTCCTCTCTTTCCATGTCCTTCCATTTTTCCAAATGGTGTCAGTTTCCTTCACATCGCTCCCTGCATCATCATCAGGTTTTCTTCTACTACAGTGCAACATTTTATTATACTCATTGGTTTTTTTCGGTAAAGTCGCGTATGTAGAAATAAAATAAGTTAACTAAATAAAATTAAAATAAATCACGACGTTTCGAACGCAACACAAGCGATCATCATCAGGTGGAAATGGGGTTGCCGCGGTTGCTCCTCACGTCGCGTCCTCTCTACCCCTTCTTGGTTGCCACTTTCATATCTGGTAAATTTGCATAATTGCCCCTCCCCACACCCATACTCCTAAAACCGGTCCCACCAGCTATGACTTACACCTGATAGAAGCAAGGGGTGTGATCCTCATCTTTCAACTCGTCACACTCGTGCTGAAAGAAATAAAGACCCCTACTATTGAAGACTGCTGTGTCGAGTGTCCACTACACCAGTACAAACATTTATGGCAGTGCAGCCAAAGCCATTTTAAATAATTGGACAAGGTCAACAAAATACAATGTCCCAAATTGGTCAAGGATACTCTATAACATACCTGTCAACATGTTATCAGTGCCTACCTTATTATAGACCAATTCAGACCTTATTGGTCACTCCGTGTCCCTTGTAAATCTCAACGTTCATCCTACAAAGTCCCATCACAAGGGAGAAACACAAATAAATACATTATTATGTTTTGCCCATATTGAAACACCTGTACACCATATGGACCTGAAAACTCAATTTTCATGTACAAGAATACGGGGTAAAATGTATAAGTTGACGGCTATGTAGTGGGTTTACTTTCCAACACACAACACAACCGGTTAGTACTGTGACTAGTAACTAATTGGCAACGTTTTTGTGTTACGTGACAAACCCCTCTACTTATAGGCTGTGTCGGATGGTGGTGGCAGGTTTCATGACGAAGAGTTGCTGGTTTATCCAGGATGTTTCTGTTGCGCGTCGTCGCTTTAAGATGTTCTCTGTTCATATTTTGGTTTGTTGCGGTTGAACCTGACTCAAGAGCTGCATGGCTCACAGGGCTATACCTAATAAATGAAACTTGAAAACTTGAAATGACGACACAACATTCATATTCACGCGACCTAACCACCACTTCTCCCCCCTTGCGATACTTTTTTTTGTTTTCTAATCGCAGGCGAGGAGGCGGCTGTGAACTGCTCCGTGGCCCAGGACACGGTGTGTCGGTGCACGGAGGGGCTCAAAAGAGACGGCGACTCGGGAATTTGTGTGCCTGAGGAGTTGGAAAACCAAGGTAGTAGTAGGATTACAAAGCCGCTCAAGTCAACCACAATAAGCTGTTTGATTTGTCAGCTGTCAGGGAGAGCACGGGACAGCCTGGTCCACTGAAATGGCAGAAGCTTTCTGCAGTAGAAGCGAAAATTGAAACTCCACCTTATGTCTATTGCAGGCTTCAGGAACTGCATGTTCAACACAGCCATATGTGATGTTATCAGTTCACTACCCTGTGCAATATTGAACACCGAATTTTAATTGTAGCTACACTACTTTTTTAGACTGGAGTCACCTTTCCTCCAAATATTCACACTGGGAAGTAACACATTTACTGCTCGTTTCAGAGATTTGTGGTTCAATTCCAACGGCTAACATTGATTTGAAGCTTTCGTGACTGCAGGAATCCATACTCTTTGGTTCTTTCGGTAAAGCCACGTAGGTAGAAAAAATATAATAAAATGACGACGTTTCGGCTGCAACACAAGCGGCCGTCTTCATGCCGCTTGTGTTGCGGCCGACACGTAATAATTTTATTTTCTACCTACGTGGCTTTACCGAAAGAACCAAAGAGTATGGATTCCAACGGCTACCCTGGTTAATGGAACTGGTGCATTCCACAAAATAAAATGCGCCATCAGCTTCACAGTGAATGATAGTGGTCTGGTAACCTTATTTGAAAATAGAATCACATGTGTTCTGGCATCGTGGTTCAAATGTGAAATTATCTGAAAAGTTCGTTTTTGGGGGAAGGGAAATCGTAAAAAAATAACATCACCCCCAACTGTGAAACTGCTGCAGATGATAATCTTTGAAAAAGCGCCTTCGCGATATTTTCGTGCTTAAAAAAACTATAGAAATTATGCAAAGAGCAATGATTTGATAGTTTTATTTTGATAGAGGTTTCGTTAATGCGACCTACTGCATTCATATACATTGCAATGTATCACATAGACCTGACAAGTAGGCGGAGAGGGGACTGCTGTTCACAGATAGTTTTTTTCTCCTTCATAACATTTTCAGACGCCACGTCATTCGTGTTGGCAGCAGCCCTCATCTTCGTCCTGACTGCACTCGTGTTTGTCATAGTTTACTTCTACATGAAACTAAAGGGGTTGACTTTTAAAAGGATGTTGAAGCGATCCGGTAAGTGGTAATGTTCCGTGCTTAATCCAAAGATCCCATCCTCGTATTGGGGCTGAAATTATACATGTGGCAAAATGTATTTTACTCATTATACGTGAATTAAGATGTGTGGAGAAATCACGTCTTGGCACAAGCCGCCTCTGCATGCTTTCTGCAGACACCACTGCACAGAATGATGAAAATGAGTTTCATCCCTTTTGAAAGCTTGGCTTCGGTGTCATATTAAATTGTCCCTTCGAGAGTCCTGCTATTGGTGACAGTCACCCCTGCCATGCCTCCACTCATCCAACAATATTACATACTCTCGTAAAGTCGTGTTGGACAAGACGCTCAATTGAAGCGTCATCGTTACTTCGTTGTGTGCTTACCACTCTTGAGGAAGTGGACAATTCTCGAGGTCCCGAGGGCATCGAGATAGGATTTGGACTGATTCACAACGATCGCAAAACTGTCTGTTCATGGTCTTTGGCCGGAGGTGATAACATCTTCATCTTGGCTATGAAACTTTACATTCCAGTTAATAACTGTCCAATCTTAAAATTATAGAAAACATTTAAATGTTCTCCTTGACTCCAATATCAACATGTTTAGTATTCTGTGTCGACTGTGCTATGAATCAGCGATAATCTGATTTTATCGGATTTATTTCAGACACTACTCATACAAATAATGAGCATGATGAAAATCTACCGCTTGTTCTTGTCGTGCAAAATGAACACAAGGTGCCATTTGGAGTTCAGGTAAACTCAACGCAGCATGGTGGCATGATGACCCTACTCTACATTGTTTCAGTGTGTAAGCGTGTATACCAGTACACTGAAGACTCCATCTCACATAGACATAAATAATTGTAACCGTGTCTTCTCCACACGCTACAGAGGAGCAATGAGAACAGCGAGACAATGCAACTCATCCAAGAGAACAAAGATAATCTAAAGGTCTGGATTGGAGTGGATCCCTCTGCCTTCTTGGAGCATCTCGATGGCTTCAAATTGATTCCACGGCACGTTCACCAAGCGGCCGTCATCAAGGGCGGAGAGGAGAGTGTTGAGCTCGTACTGGACCACTGCATCTGCCAGGGAGAGGTGGGCTGTGAGAAGCTGTGGGATGCCCTCTACTCTGTGAGGAAGCAATACGTGCATCTATGGAAGTGGATTCAGACACACGGTACGACCCACGTAAACGCACCAGTATATTGATATTGAATGCCTTTTGTTAGAGTAAGGAAGAAAAACCATGCATATGCATAGCTTTTGTAATGCTTTCCAACACGAGTTCGTCCTTGGGGAGGTAATTGGAAACAACGCTACTTTTAAAGCCGTAGAGGAATGATGTCATGCTGTGTGTGACTGAACGACTTCACGTTTCCTTTGACTGTTTAAGTACCAATACGAACCTAAATATGTTATACGTTGTGCCTTGATTCCAGAAGCACAATCCTGGCCTAATTTGATAGAAAATCAAATAAATTTGCGTAAAACGATACTTGTGGAATTCATATGAACCTCTGTCGGTCGCAGGTGAGGCATTGAGAGCCGTTCAAGATAAGGAGTCTGATCTGAAGCTGTGGATTGCCAGAGACCCCAAGCATCTTCTGCTGCAGCTGATGAGTCGTGGACGGATCCCAAACGAGCTCTTCACCAAGGCCAAGAGCATCCGGGATGGCGCAGAGTGCGCAGAGCTGCTGCTCGACTACTTCGTTAAGAGAGGGAACGACGACTGCCTCAAGCTGCTCTTCGCTCTGCAGGCTGTGCAGGACGAGTATTCTGGACTGAAGGAGTGGCTGGGAGGCCTTGGTAACAAAACAATAAATTAAGAATAAACATTTAATTTCATACAATCCAAATTTGTCGTATTAACCGGCCATCATTCCTTTTCGTGACATGTCCTGCCCATGTGCACTTAATTAACAAAAAATGTTCCATAACCCATGTGTAGTGGGTTCTCAGTGAGACGGAGACGACGTAGTGGAGGCACACTTGTTTCTTTAACCAAAGGGCAGCAACACAAAACTTGAAGGGGTAACGGCCCCTTCACCCGTACTCAATGGGAAACACCCCTCGCACTATCCCCTGACTGATCTACTCCCAGTCCTCCGCTAAGAGTGCTAGGGGAGGCTATTTGATCCGGCCCTAGTCCAGCACGGATCCCGGCACCCAGCTAACCAGACCGGCTCTTACAAGAGCATCGGTCCTGAAGCTCTCAGAGCTGCGCCACTGGCTTGCCCTGCTCGGTCCTGAGAAGGAAAGCGAGTCAGGGGATTCCCAGGGCCTATCTGCCGGTCTTCAGTCTTCTCTGGTTAAGCTTTACACACTGGACCTCGAGCCCTCCGGCTCCCCGCCTTTTATACGAATCGCCTCTGAGGGGTGGGACTATGGGGGATAACAGCGCCAACCACAGCCCCCCAGGGTTAACCGTTGCGGATGTGGATGTAGATACCCCTGTGTGTTTGTCCGCTTCCCTTCCCGTAACCACCCCTACACATGCACTGTCGTTCTGTTTTTCTACGTAATTGGAAACTGTGTACTTCAAAAATGCTCTTTTGCACGCTCTTTCAATGCTGTTGTTTTAATTTGCAGTGTCCACGTGTCTGATCCGTATGTCATAGCGGGTCATGTGGGCTGATTAAAACGTTTTTCTTCAGGCACATTGGTTACATTACATGTAATTGAGAATAGGGGTTTTTCCCCTTTTATCTGGCAAGAAAACTGAAACCTTTTACAAGGAATAGTGTCTGCATTGACCACAATACTTTTGGTCAAAATGCAAACAAAAACACACTGATAATATATTCATTATCCTTAAAAATGATTGGTCCACATCAGAGACAGCGTTCTTTTGAGCCTCGTCTCAATTGGTGCTAGACCAGAGGACGCCACAAGTATTGCGGTTAATGCAGACATGATTCCTTGTAAAAAGGTTTCAGTTGTGTTGCCAGAAAAAAGGGGAAAACCCCTATTCTCATACTTTGGTAATGGCAAAGGAGGTCTAATGATGTAGTTAGATTTCATTATTTGGTTCAATTTTCCAAAAGCAACCTGCTCTCATCGACCTTTGAATGCTGAAATGGTGCCAATTGCTGCTGCGTTTCCCCCCTTTTGTGGTGCCGCAGACTTCCTCCGGAGACTCTCCAAGTCCCCCGTGGTTCTGAACAAGTACAGCGACTTTGTCCTCCGGGACAAAATCCGCTTCAAGACGAGGGAGCTGCTCATGGCGCTGCGCAACGACCTGACGCCTCTGCTCTCCCAACTGCAGATCAGGAATATACTCACCGACAACAGTGTGCGGGTATGTCCACTAAGATCATCGTCATCATAATCACGTATCGCATCATAAATAAGTACCTTTGCTATTTGGCCAGTCTTTTGGCTCAAAGGCTATCACGAAAGCACGACGGATATACTTTCTAGGCTTTATAGAGCATATTTCGATGTAAAGCTTTCGTGACTGCAGGGATTCATCTTCTTGGTTCTTTCGGTAAAGTCACGTAGAAGGGAAGTAATAAAATAATTCATAGAGCATTTCTATCTTTATTCTGCTGTGGGATTGGTTGACATTGAGCAATCTCAATAAGGTCCATTTGGATGTTAGGGCTAGACAAGCTGAAATAAGTGCTGAGAGTATGAACAGATGTAAGAAGCACAATTTCACAGAGCACTACACATAGGTCGTTGCACCCATTGGTAGTGGCACACGTGATCTTATAATTATAACGTTTCTAAGACGACCATTACCGTATTTTCCCGCATATAACCCGTGGGGTATACCACTTTTTACAAACAAAACAAGACCCTGCGGGGTATATGGAGGTGCGGGCTATCCCAAAAATATTTTACACATGTGGCATGTCATAATTCGTTTAATTTTTCATGCTAGTGTAATGCGGGCGCGGGCGACCTCCCGGATGTGACGTCACGGAGAGGTGGAGTTAGGTGACGTGGGAGCAAGGTTAAGGTTCTTAAGGGATGAGACCGGAAGAGGAGGAGGGAGAGTGAGAGACAGGACAAGAGTAAGGCCACGTTGGGCGAAGCCAGGAAGAGTGGCACCGGCGGCCAGCGGTGGCCAGCTAAGGGAGCAGCCAGCGGAGCTGCGAGAGAAGACAGCAGAGTGGCTGCTGGAGAGAGGGTGGTTGAGGAGCTGCGGTGAACACAGCTGGCGAGGCTGTGTGTGAGAGGCTACGAGAGCGACGAGAAGAGAAACAGCAGCGAGTGCAGCCAGTGGGGGCTGCGTGAGGGTGACAGCCGGCGAGGCTGCTGGAAGGTTACGAGAACAACGGGAGACAACAGAGGAGCTGTTGGCGTGACGGGGTTAACAGCAGTATCTGTATCAGTGCAGAAGGCTTATAGAAGGACAGCCGTGTGGGTTGCGAGGAAGAACCGAATAAAGGACACCAAGCCAGACTTCGTGGTCGAGTCCTTTATTACATTGGTGTCGGAAGTGCAACGGCATGTCGAAACAAGTGAGAAAGAAAAATGTTCCAGCGCCAGCATCGGCTTCTTCGTCCGAAGACGACGACTTCCCTCCAAACATGGATCCTGCCGGGGTGGTGGAGGAGAGCCCTGCTGAAACGAGTGCGGGGACTGGGGTTGAAGATGTAGCCGTAGTGTCGGGGCCGCCGACAACATCAGACGCTGATCCGCGATGGCTGCAGGTGGCGGAGCAACTGGAGACTCTCAGGGACGTCCTGGCCCAATTGTGTCATCTCGTCACCCCAAGGACGGCGACGGAGAGGGCGGAGAGTGCTCCACAGGCCGCCACGGTATCTTCGCTCCCGGCGCCATTGGCCACGCGGCAGGAGGCCGCCATCTTGCGCGTTCCGCGGCGGGAAACCGCCATCTTGACCACGCCGCGGTTCGACGCCATTTTGAATTTGCCACCGGAGGAGCCATCGGCGGAGGGCGGAGTAAAGAGAAGTCGGAGTCGCCATCTCACCACGGTCAAAGAGTTCGCCATTGGGGGCGACTGGAGCGCTTTCGCCTGCAGATTTTTGGCGGCGGTCCGTTCTGCGCGATGGACCTTAGAAGTGTTGCCGACTCTTCTGGACGACGAATCTGTTCGATTTTTTCGTTCCATTAAGGCCGAAAAGAAGAAGACATTATATGGAGTTTTTCAAGAAATGGCCGACGCCTACGAGCCACCTGACGACGCGCATCGGCGATTTGCTCAACGACAACGAGCGCCCGAGGAATCGCCCGTGGCATACAGGGGTGCGGTGCTTGATTTGGCTATGGCCGCGTATCCAGAAACAACACCTGACCTGCTCGAGCCTCTCATCTTGGGCAAGATGCTCGAGCTGTCGCGGGATCTTGGGATTCCCATGCCGGTGTGTGGGCATGAGAAGCTCACTTCCCGGGCGGCGGCAAAATGTCTGGATGCACAATTCAACCTCCGACGGTGGAAACAAGTCGCGGCGTGGACAGGGGAGCCCGTCGCAGAGGGTGGCGCTCTGGGTTGGGACCCTACAAAGTCGGTATACGTGCCGGATGGGGGGGGCCCTCAGGAGCTGACGGCCACCTCTGGGCCATGGTCAGGCCACGGTGGGCCGGCCTCTTGCGCTGCACCACCGGTACGGGGCCGGCGGGATGCAAGGCCTGCGCTTCGGCACAACGACGCCGATTGTTTCCGCTGCGGACGGAGGGGCCACTACGCGAAGGACTGCTGGGCCCGCATCCCGGGTCCGCCGCAACAGGAGGCCTCATCAACGGCCAAGCCGACCAAGGAACCACCGAACCAGGCAAGTCGGCACGCACCAGACACCCGGCAAGGCTTTACACCTCACCCATCACCTTCGTTGTGCGATCCTAGTGTTGTTGTTAAAGAGAGACCTTCGACGGGGCCTTGTCGCTCTGTGACGCAGTGGCGCAAATTGGCACGGAGGGTTGTCGCGGCCGCTACGGGTTCGTCCACCGTGCCGGGGTCTATACAAGGGGTGGACGTGCGCATTTTGGTCGATTCCGGAGCGTCCGCGACTATAATATCGGATGTCATTTTTCATCTGTTGGGCATCTCACCCGGGGCCGTGCGTCCGGTTTACGGGTCGTGCGTCGCTGCGAACGGGCGTAGTATGGGCATCGTGGGCCAGGTGGACGCTAAAATATCTATCGGGGATGTGTCGGCCTTGGGCGTTGTGTTAATTTCAAGATCCTTGGCAGTTCCTTGTTTATTGGGCACTGATTTCCTGGCTAAGATGCCTATTTTGATCAAAATTAATGAGAATTGTATTGAACTGCCGGGTGGCCGTCAAATTTCGTTTCTGCCGTCGCCCTGGGGGCGACCTGCTTCGACCGTACAAGTGCAGGCGCTATCCGTGGCATCTGTTGACATCCCACCTGGCTCCCAGATGCTTATTCCCTTGCGGTATCGGAAGCCCCTGCCTAGTCAGCTAGGAGCGGTTGGGGTCTTGTTGTCACCTTCAGCCTCGATAACGGCCGGGTTGGCGCTGGTTGGGGCACAGACCATCGTCCGGCCAGATCAATTGCCGTTTTTGCAGGTGCTCAACGCGGGTACTGAAAGTGTTCGCGTCCCGGCTGGCACGGTTGTGGCACATGCCACTACGGCATTTACGGATCACGATTGTTCGCATAGCCAGGAAGTGGTTGCTGGTGTTTCTGAGCCTGTGGCTTCGGATGATCGCTGGATTGCTAGCTTATGTGACGGAAATTCTTCCCTGTCTGTGGATCAACGGGGTGCGCTTCACAAATTATTACTGACGTTTTCGGATGTGTTCAGCTCCAATGATTTGGATTTGGGACGCACCTCGTTGCTTCACCATCATATCGATACAGGCGACGCTGCCCCTATTCGGTTGAATTCGCACCGAATGAGTCCCGCCGAGCGAGAACACGTTCGAGGGGCAGTGGAAGACATGTTGGCTGCGGATATTATATCGCCATCAAACAGCCCATGGGGCGCGCCTGTGGTTTTGGTCAAGAAAAAGGATGGCAAATTGCGATTCTGTGTTGACTTTCGAAAATTGAATAAGATATCGGTGGCAGATGCGTATCCCCTGCCGCGTATGGACGACTCCCTGGACGCATTGTCGGGGGCTAAGTTCTTCTTTACACTGGACCTCTCTTCGGGATTTTGGCAGCTTCCCCTTGACGAGCCCTCACGGGAGAAGACCGCATTCCGTACGCCGCAGGGGTTATTTCAATTTAACTGCCTTCCGATGGGGCTGAATGCGGCCCCTGCCACATTTCAAAGGCTCATGGAGCTCGTCTTGACGGGGTTGCAGTGGGAGACATGTCTCATATATTTGGACGATATTATTGTCTTCAGCCGCACATTTGATGAACATTTAAGGCGGTTGGAGACGGTGTTCGCGAGGATGCGCTCCGCGAACTTGAAATTCAAACCAAAGAAATGTCACCTACTGCAACGGTCCGTCCGTTATTTGGGGCACATCGTGAGCGCTGAGGGGGTGTCTACGGACCCGGAAAAAACGGCGTGCGTCCGAGATTGGCCAACTCCGGCCACCGTGGGGGATGTACATCGCTTTCTGGGATTTGCCTCGTATTATCGAAGATTTGCACCGAATTTTACGACCATCGCGAGGCCCTTGCACCTCCTTACGGGTAAGGGACGTAAGTTTGTGTGGGGACCGCCAGAAGAGGCGGCCTTTCAGAGTCTGCGCAATCTGTTGGCTACGGCCCCAACATTGGATTATCCCGATTTCGATCAACCGTTCATCCTTGATACGGACGCGAGTGACACAGGTATTGGCGCGGTGTTATCTCAGTCTAAAGGGGGCGCAGAGCGCGTCGTTGCGTATGGTAGCCGGGTCTTGTCGCCCGCGGAAACCCGCTACTGTGTCACTCGCAGGGAACTCCTAGCCGTTGTTTTTTTCCTACGTCAGTTTCGACCGTACCTGTACGGCCGTTCCTTTATCGTACGTACGGATCATGCGGCCTTGCAATATGCCCTTAAAATGGATCAACCTTCCGGCCAGCTGGCGCGTTGGTTGGACACGCTACAGGAATTTTCATTTCAAATTCACCATCGCAAAGGGGTGCGCCATGCGAACGCAGACGCACTTTCCAGATTGCCGCAGCGCTCCCCTTGCAAATGTGCGTCGGGGACGCATAGATGTATGCCCAGCCTATCCCCCCCTCAGCCGCTGGTGTTGGCTGTTGAGGAGCCGGATGCTCCTGTGGAACCGGGGCCGACTGATGGGGTTTTGAATCTGCCACGGTCTGTTTGGATACGGGAGCAGATGATGGATGATTCGTTAGTGTCCTTGCGGAAGCGATCTAAAGTGGAGATTGGGGGTCCGGTTACGGAGGGTGCGCCGGAAACCGCGATCCGAGATGGTCTGCTCATGTGGAGGGAAGGTCTCCAGGAGCGCTGGCGTCTGGTGGTGCCTGCGTCCCTGCGATACGAGTTGATTAGAACTCTCCATTGTGACACGCTATTACATCTGGGTGTGCAGAAGACCTTGTTGACGTTGCAACGTCATTATTTTTGGCATGGCATGGCGACGGATGTCGTGGGGCACGTCCGCGCGTGCCCTGATTGTGCCCGACGTAAGCCACCTAAACATCCTTATGTGCCGCCTTTACAGTCAATTCAGGTGTCGCGGGTTAATGAATTGGTGGCACTGGACATTTTGGGACCTTTCCCGCCATCGGCGAGGGGTAATAAATATTTGCTGGTCGGGGTTGAGTACCTCTCCCGTTGGCCGATGGCCTGGCCGTTACCCGACCAATCGGCCTTGGCCATTACCAACGCCTTTTTGTTCGGATACGTTATGGACAAGGGTGCGCCGGAGAGACTCCTCACGGACCAGGGCCGAAATTTCTCTTCTAAATTATTGGCGGAAGTATGCGCGGGCCTAGGGACTAAGAAGGTCCGGACATCCCCATACCATCCGCAAACGGATGGTATGGTTGAGCGGCTAAACCGGACATTGTCTGCCATGCTGTGCCATACGGTGAGTGAACAACAATCGGATTGGGACCTGCACATCCCGGGGGTGCTTTCGGCGTACAGGATGACTCCTCATGCGGCTACCGGTTATTCGCCGTTTTACCTTATGTATGGTCGGGAAAACGTGCCGCCGATGGATGTGCAGCTGGGAACCGGTGTGAAGGGACCTTGTAAACCACTCCCTGACTACATTCGGGACACTGTTCGCCGGGTCTCGGAGGCGCGGGAGAGTGCCCGCGTGGCTACGGCCAAAGCCCAGGCCTGGAACGAGAGGTATGCGCGGCGTTCCAAGGGGGACTGCCCCTGGAAGGTTGGGGACCTGGCCTGGCTCCATTGTCCGCAGGTGTGGCTGGGTACCTCTCCCAAATTTCACAAACCTTGGCAAGGGCCTGTCCGCCTCATTGAGGTTCCTAACCCTCAGTCGGCGCGTGTTCAGATTGGTTCTCGCCGCTGGTTTGTTCACACGTCGCGCTTGAAACCGTATGTTGCTCCCCTACATGATGCTTCATCTCCCAATGTTGCCTTGCCGGGGTCTGTTGCTGCCGACTCTCCCCCGCCTGCGTCCATTGATCTTGCTAGAGCGCCTGTCATACCTGTTCCAGGCAGGCCGGCCTTGACACCAGAGGGGACGAGGCGCCCTGCTCGGAGGGTGCCTGCCAGATCTGCGGGAACTTCGAGCCCTGCAGCCCTTCCGACCCCGCTGCAGACACATCCGCGGGACACGCCCGAGACTGATCCTTCAGGGACACGGGACGTTGGTGGACTTCCAACAGCGACAGGGGGATTTCACCCTGTCACTCCTCAAACTCCATCACGTTCCCGTTCCACGGATGGGCCGCCGACCGTCCGGGACGGGCCGGCGACCCGCACACGTTCTAAATCCCTTGTGTTTCGTTGATTGTTACGTTGCGTTATTGCTCTTACTATGTATTTATTGCCTGCTTCTGCTACGTTACTTGATTGTTGAGTTGTGTTGATTGTTCTTACTGTTATATTGCATGCTTGGTGTCCTTTGGTGTGTTAGGGTCGGTTTCGCCCGCATTACTGTTGGTGTTGTTCAGCCGAGGTCGGCTGGGTTTTTCTCCACGGGGGAGGGTGGTGTAATGCGGGCGCGGGCGACCTCCCGGATGTGACGTCACGGAGAGGTGGAGTTAGGTGACGTGGGAGCAAGGTTAAGGTTCTTAAGGGATGAGACCGGAAGAGGAGGAGGGAGAGTGAGAGACAGGACAAGAGTAAGGCCACGTTGGGCGAAGCCAGGAAGAGTGGCACCGGCGGCCAGCGGTGGCCAGCTAAGGGAGCAGCCAGCGGAGCTGCGAGAGAAGACAGCAGAGTGGCTGCTGGAGAGAGGGTGGTTGAGGAGCTGCGGTGAACACAGCCGGCGAGGCTGTGTGTGAGAGGCTACGAGAGCGACGAGAAAAGAAACAGCAGCGAGTGCAGCCAGTGGGGGCTGCGTGAGGGTGACAGCCGGCGAGGCTGCTGGAAGGTTACGAGAACAACGGGAGACAACAGAGGAGCTGTTGGCGTGACGGGGTTAACAGCAGTATCTGTATCAGTGCAGAAGGCTTATAGAAGGACAGCCGTGTGGGTTGCGAGGAAGAACCGAATAAAGGACACCAAGCCAGACTTCGTGGTCGAGTCCTTTATTACACTAGGACTATCCACTATGCAACACTTACCTTTGACTAAAGCACTGCTGAATAAACCACTCGCACTAAAATTGCACATATTATTACGTTTTAAATGATTCGAATTGCTTGTACAATGAAACGACAATGTTTGAAGTGGGCGCATTTTGTTTATCATAATACTTTCAGTGGCTGTAGGGGGGGGCGAAAGTTTCAGCTGAGGCTATGGATTGCACAATGGGAAGGGCCTTAACAAGCGTCTACCAGACGACACGGAATCATAATTGCTGAGTCCCTTAGGCCGCTGCTATTGCCTGAGCACTATACAGTTGCGACCATGAGCTTTGTTTCAAACTTCCAATGGCTTTGTTGCCAGGAGGAAATGGCGTTAACGTAGTGCTGCTATTGTCTACGCAGTGCGCAATCTACCAGTGCTAAAACTGTACAGGGGTAACTACCGGTCATATGATGAGGTCGAATGCTGGTAAGCCTAACAGTTCACTTACTTACTTATCTACCAGTTATGTGTTACTTATTTATTGGATATTTACTTTTGTTACTTTATTTACTGTTTTAAGTTCACTCGTTTCTGTTTAGTTTGTTTTCTTTGTGCACGTTATGATTTTAACGTTAACAATTGATAGTGGAATGTATTACAAATGTAAACTTTGTACTAATATGATGGAATTAAGCTGCGGTAACGACGTTAAAGATATGAATGCATGCGGGGTATATGGAGGTGTGGGCTATCTGAAATTTGTTTTACACAAAACGCTATTTTTGTGTGCTATATGCGTCTGTGGGCTATATGCGGGAAAATACGATACCACTGTTTACATCGGACTCTATAGTTACATAATAGTATTTTTAAGATATACTTAGCATTTTTTTTACTGATACTCATTATAGAGATGTGGTTTTATGCCAACTGGTGACAAAAATGTCTTCTCAATACTTAATTTAAGATACATTTTCTCCAGCCATAATACCACAAAACATCAAGTTAATTTGTGAATGTTGTTGCAAGTTTTTTTTGCACGAGTGGTTATTTTGATATGCACGTCATCAGCATACAGGGATACTCTAACCCTTTGGCTTCTAAATGTCGCACAGTAGCACTCGGTATAAATTTAATAAAAATGGTCCCAGGATAGATCCCTGCAGGACACCTACAAAAGTAGCCCGTTCCTCTATTTTTGCATCTTGACAAGAAACGATGTTTTTAATTGGTAAGAATCACACAATCTAGATTTGTTTTCATAACTGCAGGGATCCATACTCAAGAACACTATGGCCTTATCTCATCGAAATTTACATAGCGTATTTTCTCATGTACTTCACAGTGATTTTATAATCGTATGTAAGATGACAGTGGTCTGAGCTGAAGAATGGGGTTTCTCAAAATGGTGGTGCCATTTTAGTGACAAAACAGAACAGGCACGAGTGTTAAGGAGGGGGCTGGGGTAGGTTTGGTTGGAGCTGGGGGGGGGGGGGCAACAGAAAGATGGGGGGGGAGTGAAGCATTGCATTGGGAAGACAAATAAACTCGGCCAGGGGGGCTGGGTGGGTATTGGAAAGAGATGGAGTGGACGCTGAGGTGAATACTTTAATGATGGGTTTGTCTCCCGAATTTTAGCGAACCCTTCGATGAATGTGGCTAGTATTCGATAGGGTAAGTCCCGAATAGCAATACAACCTTATCTGGAAATGTTGGAATGTTAGATCATCTTTACAAGAGTTATCGATTGTGGTGCACAGTCACACACCAAGTCACACGATGTCATAAACGCTGCTTTACAACGGAAACACAGTGGTTCTGGAGTGTTGTAGGCAAGTGGCTCTGCAGAATCACCATCGCTATAGAAACGTCCTTCTGCGCTTAATTGTCGCATCTTGTGCTCGTGTGTTCACCCGCAGGCCGTGAAAGAAATGCAAGTTCGGCAAGGCAGCGAGAAGGCGACACAGCACATGGTGGAGTTGGTGATGGCGAGGGGACGACCCAGGGTCAAGCAATTCTGGGAGGCGCTGTGGGACCTCAGGGAAAGTTACCCAGACCTGGAGGACATCTTTGAGAAGTTCTAATGGATGGAACCAGAAAGAGAGGGAAGACTGACAGCGACTATGACTTGACGACATCACAAGAGATTGGTGCCAGAAAGATGTGTCCACTACCTGAGCATAGTGGCACGACAAGACAGGGAGAGGAAAGTGGAAACAAATGACGAAACGTGCAGTGAACCACGACCTACGACTATGGGGATATCTGCCCTATGGATCGTGATGATGATGAATGGATGTGGGGGGGGGGGGGGTGCGTGGGGGTAGTTGTGGCCCAGTGGTTAGTGCACTGCACAAACCAAGGTGGCTAGGATATGTTAATTACCGCGCCTCATATATAGGACAGGAGGTCGTGGGTTCAATCGCGACCCAGACGCCTGCTGTTTATTTGTAGTTTGCAACATCTCTCTCCCTGTGGTCACATGGATTTTTATCCAAGTCCTCCGCTTTTCCTTTCCACATGAAGAATTCACGTGACATGTTTAAGGGTATTTGACTGCTATAAAATTCCACGTGATGATAAGATTTTGTTGAGCTGTCATTTCGGATAGCCATGTCGCTTCTGAAAAAGAGCTATTGTATAGCTCATTGGGCCTTTACTTGTAAAATAACAAAAAAGTTTTGATAATTTATGAACCCAACTCCTCTGTCTGCTTCTTCCCTGGCACTGCTCTACTTTGTAATTCCCTCCCATCGTGTCTTGTGTCCCCCAAGTTTTTGTAACAACCCTTGCCCAATTCAAGAAATGTATTGTCCATTGCCAGCCATGCAGAGGAATGTGCATGGTTGTCGTGTGGGGTGTTTAGTGAACGAGACCGGATTAATCGGTCCTATTCATTAAGATTACTATCTTTAATCTTTGGTTCATTTAAGTTATGGTCGACTTATTTTAACTTTGTTTTATTATTTTATAAATAGCATCACGATATATTTTAAAATATACATTTAATCACAGGCCAAGAAAGATGTATTCACTTGCTTTAGATCGCTGCCACTTCCAGAGCAGACCACGTTGCCAGGCTTCCTCACTGCCAGGCCAGGGATGCCTGATATGGCCATGGTCGCCATTTTTAAAAAATGGCCGCGAGTAATCAGCCCCGAAAAACATTCGTAGAAGATTACAATTCTTGCTCGATTAGTCATCATTAGTGATGTCATCACCTTACTGGATTCATCATCATCGGTGATGACATCACCTTACTGGAGTCATCATAGAGCAAGGCGATGACATCACTAATGATGACGAATCCAGCAAGGTGATATCATCGCCTTGCTCTATTATCTACAGTGGTGACATCACCTTCACTCGATTTAAGACCAGAAACAGGAAGACTTCTTTACAATTCTGGCAAATCCTCTGATGAAGCTGTTGGTTGTTGTTGTTGTTGTAATCGCCAGATAAATATCACAGCAGTACTGAGGAAGGAAGGTCTCAGAAGTGTCAAAGGGGTCGCGTGTGGTAGGACAAACAGTGATATCTCCAATGTTTTTTAAGGCATCCGACTAGCATGTAAGAGTAGGCGAAATATTTCCCACGGGGAGGGGCTTTCTTTTTGGGGCCCTATGGTGGCTTGGAGATGTTAACTACATCGCCTGGTTTCCAGGAAGTTGTGGGTTCGACCCTGACGCCTCCTGTACATTTGGAGTTTGCATCACCCTCCCCGTGGTCGCATGGATTTTTCTCTGGGTCCTCCGGTTTTCCCTCCACATTTAGGCATTAACATCACACGTTTAGAGTTTTTGGCTACTGCTATCCATTTCCACACGATGTTGATGATATCAGCCACTTCGTTGGGCTATCATTTGTGATAGTCAGGTTCACTTCTAAAAGAAGAGATATGTACCTTAGTGGGGCCTTACCTGGTAAAATAGTGCAACATATCCTCTGGGGGGAGGGGCTTTGTCGATGCCCCTCTTGTGGAGGCCTTTCCACCAGTAGTGACCCACGTAAGTCAGTTCAATACTGCCCCTTTACCTTCTAGAATATGTCTTGATACTGGAGGAATCTGATGAACTATAAAGCTCTTTTTTTCACAGATGTCCAGTATGACCCTTGATAGTCATACAGTCACGTCACAAATTCCCTTCACTTCTATTCACTCCCCCGAGTCTCTCTCCACGAACGACGTTTCGTCAACGGTGCTTATGGTCGACACATTTTAGAGCCCCCTGGGCTCTTACCAAAATTTGCCAGCTCCCAGGGCCCTGATTGGCCGACCCGTAGAGTTCAAACCGGCCATTGGTACGGCAGGCACATGAAGGTTACAGCCCAATGACTTCCCTTGGTTGAAGTTCCACTGCAGTGGCCGTTTCATTGTTACATTGCCTTCCTGTCAACCCCTTATCAGTGCCCCTACCTTATTACAGACCAATTCAGACCTTGCCCCGTGCCCTTATAAATCTCAACGCTCATCCTATAATGTCCCATCACAAGGGAGAAACAAAAACAAATAGATTTAACACATTGTTGCAACGTATTGAAACGGCTGTCCACCGCGTGGACCTGAAAACTACATTTCCCTGTACAAGAATACGGGTAAACCGTATGGGTTGACAGCTGTGACATTGCGTTCAATGGTCCCGTGTTAAAGCCGGTGTTAGGCCGTGACGATGTTATCCAGGTCACTGAAGGGAGCTCCCCCTGGCTTGTGGAGCGAAACTCCGGACATCGTGCACGAGCAACAACAACAACAACTCAGCCGTGGAACCCGAAAACACATCGGAGGAGCTTTACAGCACAACCTGCGAAAAACCTACGCAGTGCAGTATTTCAGAATAGTATTTTTTGTTAGGATAGAAGCAACACAGAATAATAGTGTATGCTGCGATACGGACACACAGCTATTTCGAGAGTGTTTGCAAGTTTATATTTATTGAAACACTGTAATACATTTTTTATACTATATATTACGTAACACGATTTATGTTCCTGGGTAGTAAGTGTTCATCTATAATTGCTTATGTCTCAAAAGTATCGAAAATGGCTACTATTCCCCACAAACTTTGCTTTTGTGACCAGGACATTACGTAAATGAATGACACAAATGCACACGTGTCCTCATTGAAAATAGGTACATTTCAAAATATCACTGTCCTGGTCACAAAAGCAAAGTTTGTGGGGAACAATAGCCATTTTCTGTACTTTTGAGGCATAACCAATTAGGAAATAACACTTACTACCCAGGAGCAAAAAGATAATACATTTGTTACACAGTGTTATCAATGGAGTGGATTATTAACGTTGCTTTTGTGTCTTGGTCACAAAAGCAAAGTTTGTGGGGAATAATAGCCATTTTCTGTATTTTTGAGGCATAAGCAATTGGGAAATAACGCTTACGACCCAGGGACAAAAAATATATATTTTTTGTTACACAGTGATTCAGTCACCGTGGCCAAATAAGCTAGTTATAAAAGAATACTCTCTAGACAGAATCTCAACAAGTCCCAAGAAAAAGCATTTGTTTTATTTTACCAGGTAAAGCCTCACTGAGCTATGTATCTGTTTTTCAGAAGCAAATGAGAGACGTAAAGAGGAAATCGATTCTCGGATAAAACCGAACCCCCCCCCCCCCCCCCCCCCCCCCCCAGAATCCGTGCCAATTTGCTTCAGTACGGATGCGAATCTCTCAGCTGCCCGGCTAGTTTACACTTCACTCGCTGTGCGATTCACAGGGACGTTTGTCCGAATGTTGAACGAACCAGCGTCCAATAAGCACGGAAATATACACCTTCCTGCATATCCCTGTGCAGAGCCTCGAATCTCGGTGCTATACAACGGCAGTGTATGTGTAACGGCGTAAGTAGCGCAGGAGACGTCGACGGAGGCAACACGTATTTATTAACAAGAGCTACGATACAGCACGTAGCGCACCCTAACACTTGAAGGGGTAACGGCCCCTTCACCCGGTTCTATCCGAGGCAGTGTCCCTCAGCTAACGTTTCCCCGTTAGCTCCTACTACACCCCTCTAACCCAGACCATCCTAGTGGAGGCTAACTGACCTGGCCCAGCTTCGGCTCAGGTCCGACCCTCAGCCACACGAGCCTGGCCCTCACAAGGACACAGACCTCGCTGCTCTGAGGTCGCCCCTGGCTTGCCCTGCTCGGCTCTTATAAGAACTGGCAGACAGGACAGTCTCAGGGCTAGCTAGCTCCTCTTCAATCTTCACTGGCTCTTGATTCTCTTCTGCTCCAACGACTGCCTCGAGCTCTCTCGCGCACCGCCTTATATACCCAACTGCCCCCCCGAGGGGCGGGGCTGTATGCGGACGTTGATGTAGACACCCCAACGTAACGGCTTGCTACACCCCGGTACGTAATACCTCTATATATGTATGATATATATGATGCGTTCGCCCTTGTTTTCTATTCCACGGTGTAGGTAGTTTTAATTGTGTTTTTGTTTGATTTGAAGATATTTTTTCGTGTTTTTACCTCAAACTGTGCTGAAAAAAAACTGTTTTGTAATTGTTTTACTTTTGTAATTTTTCAGTCGGTACCCTGAGCCAATGAAGTATTTAAGCAAAGGGGTTGGGTTGGGAAATCTGCAGTCTGTGAGCCAGATGTGACGCGGGACATTATTTCAATGGCCACATGAAAGCCATACGTTTCTAACTGGCACTCAAGTTATATTTATGCGTGACTACAAGCACTACAAGTGAACCTTATGGCAGTACCCCGGGGTACCATAGTACCCCGGCTCTCGCATAATGTTCGTGATGCAGTCATTTTTAGTCTGTTGATGATCGGCAATGCGGCAATCGACTCATCTCGACGAGCTGTACACGATGCACTATTCAAAGTTGAATTTTTCGATAACGGATTTTTCATGCTAATGTTTGGCGTTTCGACATCGTGGAGGAGCACTGATTTAGGATTGATTGGTACCCCAGTCGCGGAGTTAAGTACACCCCTGGAAAAAAGTGTCCCAGAAATAAAATATTTAATTGCCTCGGCCATTTTGTATTGTGTCACTACAACATATGTGCACACTATTATATACTACACTGCTATACACTACACTATACACTACAATACAACACATCACTGTTATACACGACACACTACACTATATGTTACAATATACTACACTACTAGACACCACTACTAGACTAGTAACATGACACTATACACTTTGGGTGAGTGGTGGGCATCGGGTGAGTGGTGGGAGAGGTTAATTGGGATTTTGACATGAAGCTACCAACGCGTGGGCGAACCCAAAAACATCTGCCGAGATAATCGCCACAACAACAAAAAACTTTCTTAAAACTATGTCAGTGCATTTGTAGTGGGTCGTATGGAGACGGAGTCTTCTTAGGAGGCAACACGTATTTATTTAACAATAACGTGAACACACGGGGTCCCTAACATAAAGGGGTAACGGCCCCTCCTACCCGACGACCTGAAGAGATATAGCCTCCGGGCTAACGTGCCCTAGTCACTGGGACCACCTAATCTTAGCCCTCCGGCTAACAGGACCTAGGGGAGGCTGACCCGACCCAGCCAAGGGCTTAGGGTCTCGACCACTGGCCCACTTAGACCCGGCCCTGATTAAGGACGTCTGGTCCGGGGACCCTCAATGTCCTCGTCTTCAGGCGAGCTCTTCAGTGTTCAGCTTGACGCTGACTGCCGGAGCTGCTCTGGGGTCCGGCTTTTATGGGGCTCCCAGGGTCACTCCACCCCGGCCACGCTCACTCTCTGGAACCTTCTGGAGGGACCTAGATTGTTGCACAATCCCCCAGCCCCCACCTCGAACCGCCCCCCAGATTGCCTGACCCACGAGTCCAACTTGGTACAGACCGGACCCGCCATTGCCCCCTGTTGGGCTCTGACTGGAGGTACATAGTTTCCAGTAGTGGTGGCAGTTACAACACATTGCCACACAAACCCCATTGTATAAGCAGGAGCTGACAATACGCAGCCTACGGTGCTTTGTATTACATGATGTTTGTACCAGACCTGAATAAACATAACATGATTTTTTTCCACGTCCTGTTCCTCGTGTCTTTTCACACATACATACACACAACAAAGATCACCCGTATAGCCGAAACAGACTTTTGGGGGCAAGTGCTGTTAGCGAGCAGCACCTATCAAGGAAGGCAATGTGGCACAAGGGGGGGGGGGTGGGTGGCCAGCACTCCACATCCGACCACCTTTGTCTCCCCAGTAGAGATGTTTACACACCAAACCATGTCCTCTTTTGAGGCTGAGTCGACTTAGGGGAGGCTCATAACACGATCCCAATAAAATTAAAAGACAAAAACCAGAAAGGGTTTAATATCATCATGTACATTAAAATCGATCATGTTAATCTCGTTAATATGCCGTCCGTATTATTGTTTGGGTTTTTCACAGTTAATTAACATACATAATGAATGTGCATTTTGTTGATCTAATAGCATGTGTAGTGACATGAGAAGGGAGGGGCTGCTGGGGGCTCTGGGACCCTGGGCGGGCTAGGCGCTTGGGCCCCTTGGCGCCAGGCGCTGGGTTCACAGGCGGGTCAAACGCTTAAGCCTCTTGGCGCCAGGCGTTGGGTTCCCGGGCGGCCCAGGCGCTTAAGCCGCTTGGCGCCACCAACGGGGCGGGGGGGGGCTGTGTGTCAAGACCCAAGACCCAAGACCATCCATCTGAGGACCCTGGGACGCTGTGAGGGCCAGTGGTGGGACTCTGGAACTCCCGACTCTACGACCTTGTGAGGGCGAGTTCCAGAGCGTAGCCAGAGTAGTGTATCTAGGCTGTGTACCTAGGCTGTAACAGAGTTGGACTGTTGGAGAGTTGGAGTGTTGGATTGTAATAAAGAAGTTACCTCTACAAGTGTCTCCGGAACCCGTTACACATGCACAGAATATGCAGTACCTATTATTGGCTGCTCACAGTTAATCAACATACAATGACATGCTTATTATTTAGTTAGTTTGTTATCCACCTCCTGCACCTCCGAGCAGCATGGTGGAGATCTGATAGTTTATCGACCTGCATGGCCGTGCAATGAAAGTGCACAGATAGTCCCCGGGTTACAGAAGGGGGGTTAGGTTAGCGAGAACGATCCGTAACCCGAATTTTCCGTATATCGGAAACTGAACGATTTTCCCCAAAAATCAACGATGAAATGCCACATCCGGAAATAGTTGAGCCTCTCCTACCCGATTACTCAGTACGGTATCGCGCTGTCGTCTATTTTATACCGCTGCCTGTGGGGCCGTCCATAAATGACGTCACGTGATTTTGGACGATTTTTGACCCCGCCCCCCCCCCTCTTCGTCACACGGTGTCACAAAAAGTCAGACCCCCCCTCAAATATGACGTCCCCCCCTTAAAAAATAAACATGCTTCAAATCGCTTTAAACTATTGCCATTGTAGTGCATATTTAATGTGGCGCTGCACTCTAATGTTGTAGGAGAAAACATTTATTAAAAAGTCTATTTAATTAAGTAGAACGTGTTGTCTAAATTTATTTAAAGTTGCGCATATTGATGTGACGTCACATTTCTCAACCCCCCCCCCCCCCCCTTCGTCACACATCGTCACAAATGTCTGCCCCCCCCCCCCCCCCAGGTACAACGATACGGCCCCTGTATCGTTGTACATAATGCTCCCCACCTCCTATGATTCTTTCATATTATCGAATATCTACCCCAACACTACCCCACAATTCAACTAATGGAACATACACTGTATACTCATCCAATTGTTTATGAATGCCACGAAATATTTTAATATTAATTGTTAACAGAAAGCAATCAATTAGGCTAGGCCGAGGCTTTTCCGATCGCTGTTGGCTGAGACCATAAGCAATCGAAGTGTAATTGTGTTAAATAAAGTACATACAGTAAATAACACATGAAATAAACTTAAAATTAAGAAAACTAACAACAGACACATGGGAAAAAAAGATAATTCCAAGTATAGAAAACTAAATTACATAATGCTACGAAAGGAGCAATGCATAAGGCTGCCCACCTTATCGCCTGATGAAGCTGGTTATTGTTGTTGTAATCACTAGTGAAACGTCACGGTACTCGAATTGTAAATGTTGTGGGTTTACTCTCCAACACACCGGTGTGCTGTCCTATTAAAAAATTGGCACGTTTTATTTTCGTGACAAACCTTACTAATTGGCTGTGTGGGGTGATGGCGGGTTTAACGATACATTTATAGTCAAGTGATCTAACCCCAAAACCCCTCTATTTTGGATAAAATTGGTTGCAAAAACCGACCTACTAAGTGTTAATCGTGTACATGCTGCAGCTTGGTAATGTTTGGTGAGGGTAGAAAAGCTTGAGCTAGATCCTCGATCCTGCCCGCTCCCTACTGTCCCCACAGGACACCAAACAGGGTAGCTGCAGTAGCCACAGGCTTCCACACAGCACCGTTCACACAGAGGCTTGCACACAGCAGCACTCACACAGAGACTTGCACACAGCGGCACTCACACAGAGGCTTGCACACAGCGGCGCTGTGTGCAAGTGCACACAGGCCATTAATCACACCTTATCGCACGTCTCCCTGGCAACACCTCTGGTGTCAGCGTGCAACCCCGGGCGACCCGGTATGCACCTGCTTCTCCCCAAATGAGGTGGCGGTTTGCCCGTGCAACGTTATGTTGCACACGCACACGTGTTTGTCCTCGGTTACCCTCAGCCAAAAGTGTGCACCACGTATTTTTACCACACTACACAAGTGTAGAGGTGTAATTGTGCATGGCCACGGATGTTGAGGTGTAATTGTGCATGGCCACGGATGGCCAACAAACACAAGGGGCGGGGTTACGGCCGTACACAGGGGAGGTGCTCGCACCGACGTCCGCACCTGCATCCCCCAAGGGCCCCTCCCGGGGGCCGAGCCCTATAAAAGGTGGTGAGCCGGAGGGCTCGAGGTCGGAGCTCAGCTTTAACCAGAGAAGAAGGAAGACCTGCTAGAATAGGCCCCAGAGCTCCCCTGGCTCGCTGTCCTTATAAGGGCCGACCAGGGCAAGCCGGTGGCGTGGCCCCGAGAGCCCAGACTGACGAGCCGGTCTGGAGACTCAGGGTGCCGGGATCCCAGCTTGACCAGGGCTGGGATAGATAGCCTCCCCTAGCTCCGTAGTGGAGGACTTGGGCATAGGTTAGCGGGGTTAGCTGTTGTGTATCCCTGTAGCCAAGTGACCCGTAATTACTGTGTGTGCACAAGTTGGTGTAATAAACAAGTGTGCCTCCGACCCTGTCGTCAAACTTCCTACATACTTACTACACAAGTACACCGTAGTATACACTACATTCACTGCTGTAATACGGGGCTTAGTCCCGCGCTCGTTGGCTTGAACAGTGCGGAGTTTTCGCGACAGTTGGATTCAACGGAGCGGAGTCTCGTGAACGAAATGTGTTCGTAAGTCGATGACTGTTTGTAATGATCCTGATTGGCCTACACCAGAGACAGCCTTCTCTATGGCCTTGTCCTCACCAGTTTCAGACCAGAGAACACCAAAAAGGCGAACAGTAGAAAGACGAAACAAATATCAGAGCATTTATAGCGCGGGTTGAGCAGTTATATCTATGGGATAATTTATTTTTAAAGTATCAAAATATGGTAAATAAGAATTGGTTTTACACTTTGTGGCAATAGAATAGGAGGTGTTAAGATGTTCAAACACCAAATAGATACCTTTTGCAAGGAATCAAGTCTGCATTAACCACACATACTTTGTGGCAAAACATGCAAACATTATCTGATAATATACGCATTGTTTTCGAAACTGATTGGCCTACACCAGAGACACATTTTTTACATGGCCTTGGCTTTGTACTGCTCGCCGTTCTCTGGTCTGACACATTGGGGGTTATTTCACCATAATTCACCACGATAGTTAATTTGGCTGCTTCTTTGAAGGCGAGGAGCATAGACGGCAATTGCAACACATTTTACATTTCAGTGGTCATTGTTGAAGGATGCCAGTCACACGAATGAATTACTATCCTCTCACCATCTTAAATAAAGGCTGTCAAACACAATATAATTAACATTAATAGGAACCCACCGCATCTCACGAAATAATCAATCCTCCAATAGTTGTGAACTGGATATGTTAAGGACATCAGCGATAAAAGACAATTTTCTGAATCTCAGTGGCCTGTAACCTGGTTAAATACATTATTTATGTGAATCTCACCTCTTGAAAAAACCCCGACAAAATGAAAACTCAATAAAATAAACATGAAATAACCACGGATGTAACTTCGAGATAAAAAGCTTAATGAAGTTGTGCTGTAAATCACAAACGAGATCACTCTCAGGGGCATCAAATACAAAGAAACCCCGTTTATAGCATTAACAGACTGTTGGGGCAAAGGCTGTTAGCGAGCACCTTAATGGCCTGAAAGGCACACGAGGGGGCGGGTGGCCAGCACCACGCACGACCGCCTTTGTCTCCCCAGTGACAATGTTTACACACTGCGCCAGGTACTCATTTGAAACGGACTCGACATAGGGGAGGCTCAGGATCTGTTCAGATAATCATCACTCCTGTTGGCCGTGAGCGGGAACCGAACTTGGTTTTGCCGAGTTCGAAGCCCAGCACGCTAACCGCTACGCCACCGCTACCCACAGGTACCTCACACACCATCACACATGAACTGCGTGTGGATCTGCCTATTCATCGGTGCTACTCCCAAACAGCACAACAGTCTGTTAAGGCTATATGGGGGAATATTTATATTTCCGAGTGTGCATGAGTAATGACAGGTGGGCGGTTGCTGAAATTTGAGATGGCGAGATGAAATCAAAGAGTTCTGAAGCCACTCCTCAGCCACTGTCACAATTGTGGAAATGTGATTTTGGGAATAGACAACAACAGTTCTTCCATCTTCCTGAATACAACGTCACTTGGAAAAATCTTGATGCTGTGTACGTGAATTTAAAAGGTGACATAACGGTAAAACCAAAGTGGCTAATTGTGTTTGTGGACATCTAATTCAAAATTAGGACTCGCCTAATTAATGTAACTGTTACACTCCGATTTTGAACACTTTAAACATGCGAAACATTAACCGCATACGGAACGTACACTTAAGTAGCACACATTCACGGTAACAGCAAAAAGTGGCTGTGAGTGCGAGACCACTTAATGAATATTCTCAGTGCAAACTCTGAATGGCTGAGTCCCTTTATGACTCCACTGTTGTGTGCAAGCCGTTGCAGATTTTCTCAAGTCGAGGATACACATCCCTGAGGTCCCACAGTAGCTCCCAGAAGGGCCTGGCTTTTGATGGATCGTCGCTCAGAACAAGCTCCAGCACGCGGACGGAGGTCACTAGAGTACCCGTTTCTCTGGCCGTCTGTGAAAGTAAAAGGACCAAACGAACCCAGACTTAGCACTTAAAATGTCACAATTGTTTCGATTTACAAAGGCAAGTGGCCACACAGTGCTCGGATGACTCCTGAACACACCTGCAGCAGTGTGTGGTGAAGACAAGGGGGTAACAAAGTGGCTAGGGAGATGTTAAATACCTCGCCTTCATCTTCTTGGTTCTTTCGGTAAATTCACGTAGAAACGTCGTGAGAATTATTTTATTATGTTTTATTTTTATTATTTTATTATTTCCCTTCTACGTGACTTTACTGAAAGAACCAAGAAGATGAATCCCTGCAGTCACGAAAGCTTTAAATCGAAATTTACCTCGCCTTCTTTAGAGAAGGTCATGGGGTTCATTTTCTGTACTTTTGAGGCATAAGCAATTAGGAAATAACACTACCCAGGAACAATAAAAAAAAAATTGTTACACTTTATAATGGAGTGGATTCTAACCATTACACCACGGCAGTTACCTACGTTTCTCAGTTAAACAGTCAAACATCTTATCGTTATGGTAAACTGGTATCCATATTTTCCAATTTTTTTCATGTGGTAACTGTTAATTCCAAAAACTCAGATTTTAACAACCCTATTAAATACGCACCTGTAAAATACCCTTGAAGATGTCTCTGTTGTCAAGTGTTGTAATCAGCTGCTCTGCCTCATTCCCCAATGCTCCGATTAGCTCTGCCTTGTTGTGGTAGACTTGATTCTGAAGGGCGCGGTCGGTGTACTGGTTCAGACGCATGAGAAATATGTTGGAGCGCTCTTTGAGGAAATCTGAAAGATGGGGGTTTTTGGGTAGTGGGTTTAGATCAAGTTATGTATCAGTAATTTATACAGGTTGAGCAAAACATTTCCAAACCTGTTACACTTTTCATGAAGAGTTTATCTCGATCAGACTTGTTTGTCTTAAGCTCCATTCAATACAATCATGTTGCTCATCTTCACCTCACATCTAAACTATTAAAACTAAAGTATATTTATTTCAGCAGGTAAGGCACACGAAGCTATAGAGCACTTTTTAAGATGCGACTTGGCCAAAAATGATAGCTCAACAAAGTGGCTTATCACGTGGAAATGTATAGCAGCCAAATACTCTAAATGCATGTTGATTCTAAATGTGGAGGGAAACACCAGAGGATCCGGAGAAAAATCCACAGGTAGCATTCTGCAGTAACTTCTCCAACTCCTCAGAGTGGGCAGCAATCACCAGATTACCCGAATAAATAATATAGTTGACCAAGAGGGAGCATCCTTTGACCATCCCTGGGCATCAATTAGCCTCCCATTTTAACTATATCATATGAAAATTCCACTGATACATCAATGGAAAGCTTCTCTAACTACGAGGTTAAAGAAGATGATAAATAGGGTAGGTGCAAGAGGAAATCCCTGTTGCACCCCAAGGTGAACAGAAAATGGCTCCGACACCGGGCCATGCAACTTTATCCAGGCCTACCCACCATCATGAAGGTCCTTAATTATTATAAGCAGACGGTCTGTGATGCTGAAAGCATAAGGAATAACTCAGAACCCTGGCGTATTGATGGTATCGTAGGCCTTGACCAGGTCAATAAAACACTAAATTATAACACTCACTCCACAGTAGTCTGAGATTATTAACAAGGGCCCTTATGCAGAACAGTGATCAGCCAGTTAAGGTGCCTGCATTGTCACCGAGCCTTCACCACCAGTTTCCCACCATACCATGCTTCACTACTCTCACCTAGCACTGACGGCTGTTTGTAGAACCCTGCGCAGCGTCACTCAAAATCGGCTTCGGACACCAAAGGTCTCGAACTGTTACAGCCTAACGTTGGTTTACACTACACCACTATACACTACACTATACACTACACTACTTATACAATACACTACTATACACTGCACTATACACTATATTATTGCACACTACTATACACTACACTATATCTTGACTTAAAGCTTTCGTGACTGCAGGAATTCATATTCTTTGGGTCTTTTGGTAAAGTCACGTAGATAGGTTCAAAGAAAATAACAAAAAACTACGACATTTTGATCGCAACACAAGCGGTCGTCATCAGGAAAAGGGGGTTAGCTTCTAAAGGCAAACTGTTTATAAAGGTTTTAAATGGGCATAGCCCAAATGTCAGCCACCTCGCGCGCCGGCCTCGAAGTTGCTGCTCTGCGACCTTCCATTAACATGATAATCTCTCACATTAACATAGCCACCTCAGCTCGCTCGCCGTGGAGGCCACTCAACGATCCTACATTAACATGCAAATCAAATTTTTACCTGGCAGCCCTTTGATTGGTGAGAAACCCACCACCGTTGCGGTCGCTGCCCACCACTTACATTAACATTGGCTGCTGACATTTGGGCTACGCCCATTTCAAACCTTTATAAACAGTTTGCCTTCACAAGCTAACCCCCTTATACTTGATGACGACCGCTTGTGTTGCGATTAAAACGTCGTAGTTTTTTGTTACTTTCTTTGAACCTATCTACGTGGCTTTATCGAAAGACCCAAAGGATACTACACTATACATTACACTACTATACACTACACTACTTACTATACACTAGTATACATTACTATACACTAAACTATATACACTATACTGTTACAGCCTCACATCGGTTCTCTGCTATCACCCCCCCGGTGTGGAACTCTCTAATCTCTTTGCATATCCGCAACATCAAATGCACTCCGACTTTTAAGAAACATCTAAAAGCCTCTATCTCTGTTGGTCAGGCTTTCGATCAGCCCTGAGCTTGGCGCCACACATCTCTGCGTTGTTGAATTTTGTCTGCAAAATCTGGCGCGTTTTTAAATGGCATTACATCAGAAGTCCATCCCATGAAGAACTATGGAAACTAAGGAAGACGAATGTGGTAATAGTTTGTTACCAAGGGAGCTGAGCCACTGCTTGACTTCAGGATAGTGGTCTTCCACGTCTTGCAGCGCAAACAGCAGCTTGAGGCAGCCATCGTTGCCTCTCTTTATGAAGTCGTTGAGCAGTAGCTTCACATGCCTGTCTTTGTTCCAGATCCTCTTGGCTTCGATGGAGAGCTGAGCCGTGATTCGTCCTTGCCTCGTCAACTTCTCCAGGAAGTGCTTTGGGTTCTTTCTGATCCACGTAGTCAGATCATTCTCCTTGTTACGAACGGACTGCACTGCCATACCTGTGGGTGGAAGATTTAGGTCAGATGTCAATCCTCAGGTGGCTTATAAATGCCATGACAGAGCACCAAGTCAACATATTTTACAGTTTGGTTCACTGTGAATATTAAAATCAATTTCCTTTGTTTCATGAATATATCCTGTGACCGCCATAAATTGGCTGCAAAATACAAAACGGAATTACGAGAAAACAGTGCTTTGTCAGGCTAAGATAGTGCCAACGCAATACTGGTTAAGCAAATCCATTCCCCGTAGTCCAAACGAAATTGTTTGAGACCTAAAATTCCAAACCTGAGTTTCTCTAAAAAACACTACGAAAGTGAAAAATAAAGTATTTTTTTACCAGGTAAGGATCACTGAGCTAAATAGCTCTTTTTCAGAAGCGACCTGGCCACAACTAATAGCTCAACAAAGTGGCTTATCACGTGCAAATTGATAGCAGCCAGATACTCTAAATGCATGTTTCTAAATCTGGAGGGAAAACCGAAGGACCCGAAGAAAAATCCACAAGACCACAGGGAGAGACACCACAATCTCCAAATTTACAGCATCAGGCGTCAGGGTCGGGATCAAACTGATGACCTCCTGTATACCAGGCGAGGTAGTTAAAATCTCTCCACTGTGGTGCCCCATGGTGAGATAACCAATCCAAGATCTAGACATTCTCACAACACACGCAGACTGACTATACAACATCATCCAAAGAGTAAGAGAAGTCCAGAAATTTGCAAGAGATTCAATGTTCTACAATTAGAATGTTTTCATCATTTGCATTCCACATTTGAAAATATTTCTTACAAAGGTATGACGTGGAAATCAGATAAACTCACCACAGAAATGTATTCACATTGAAGTGTGATCAACCAATTAACATTTGAAAATATTTCAAATGTTAATTGGTTGATCACACTTCAAGGAGCACATCCCTTTACCCAGAAGTTTCCTGAATTGTAATACACTGGAAATAAGTCAAGGTACCTGGGAAACCCACAAAATGCTTGTGGATCGGAAACTAATCCGTTTGTATGGGCATCTACTGTCAACTCGTCCCAACAGGTTTGGTAACTCGAACGCTGAGATAACTCTTTCAGGATTTCAGACATGACCATGTGACTGCTCCTATAACAGACTCTTGATTTCAGTAATATTATTTTATCTGCACTAAAGTTGGGCTATAAAGTGTTACAAATGAGACTCAAATATTATTATTTAGCTTTAGGCAACAAAAAAACAACACCAGCTGGCAGTGGTGAGAATGCAAGAGTGGTCTTTGAAGGATATATGTCAACTGTTACAAGACGAAAACCCAAGAGTAGATAATGATATTGATTAGCCTGCTCCTTGAAGGTTGCGCATCCAGTGTCAATGGAATAACTGAGGCATCGAGGATGCACAAACCACCTGGCCGGCCGACAGATACATTACGGAGGCTGTCCTACCATGTTCTTGAATCCACTTCGATAGCTGCTGGTAGTGGTTGCTCACAGATTGGAGGGCGTTCAAGAGTCTCTCACACTCCTTTGCTCCTTGCTGAATGAAGTGGCTCAATACGAGCTCCACACACTCCTCTCCATGCGTGTTATTTGCTGCTTGGTAAATTTCGTCTGGAATCATGGTGGCGTTTTTGAGATGCTCCAGGAGATGTGAGGGTTCCACTCCGATCCAGGCCTTGAGATTATCTTTGTTTTGAAGGATGAGCGTCACGGTCTGGCTGTCGTATGCCAACTGCAGTGGAAAAACAACATGTCTATATTTATTTAATGTATTAAAATGGAAGGTATCGGTGTAGTTACAAAGCCTGCATAATAGAGTGAAATATTTTAAAAGTCAATGTGAATACATTTCTGTGGTGAGTTTATCTGATTTCCACGTCATACCTTTGTAAGAAGTGGATCAGTTTCAGTTGTGTTTCTTGTCATTTTAGTCCCTGAGAAATTAACACGTGAAAGATGGGTTACTACTGCTCCTGCTTTGAGATACAGAATAAAGCACCCTCTAATCTTGCAACTCAGTACTAGGGATATCATGTAACAGTGACTAACTACGGAATAAGGAGATATCCTCCATATATTTTTTATTGTGTGTATATATATCTGTATTATCCATAATTGATTGTTGAGTTACGTATTTAAACATGATTACTTCGGGAGTCTGTGAATGAGACATTGACATAAGGTGAGAAGTTATGAATGCATTAAGGGTTCCATTAGTGCAAGCGTTGAGCTATTGATGGAGATGAAATAGAAGGAGATTAGAGAGATTTTATATATAAGTTTGAGGCAAAGTATATTGAATACAGTTATCACTAACTTATCAGAAGAGTGTAATTTGAGAAAAAATCTTTTCATCAGAAGGAATACTTCAAATCTAGGTAACAGTTCCATTTCACGAGCCAGATGCCAGGTGCATATTTAGTTGAAGACAGGGCGAAGATTGGTTAAATAGCAGCTCAGAAATCCTTGTACAATTGAGCAAAAAAAAAAAATCATCCCGGTGATGTAAACCATACACACACAGGACAATGCTGGGGTCAAGGAGACGATGGGAGAGGTCACATACATCACAATGAAGGGTTGTCACTGTAGTATAAGAATTATGCAATTCAGACCAAACAAAACATTGAAAGTGTTTATAGGGAACATCCAAGTTTTGCCGTTAAATGCACAGACACATTGCTTCAACTCTGTCAGATATTATGCTTTAAGACAGAACAGTATACTTACAGAAACGGTTCACTCTTCTTCTGACAATGTGCCATTTTCTTCTCACGAAGATGATCAGTGCGATTGCGAGAGTACATCCCAACACGATGACAGCTATGGGTGTGATAATAAAAAAACACGAATCCATTAGGACAGGAACATTTACATTCATCCTACACATCTGGATGTATTGTAAAATAATCCCATCGATTAAAATGGCGATTCCTGTACTGCCTTTAAATCGAATGGGTTTCTTTAACAGTCAATGGATTGTCCAATAAGAAAAACCCCAGTTATTTCAATGCAGATTCAGGAATTGCGATTGAAATGAATGGGGATCCTATGAACTACACAGGTTCAGTACATTCCATTTAAACGAATGAGATTGACACCCAAAGAACTGTCTGCAGAATTTACATTTGATCCATTAGATATCCCTGGATCTGCATTCAAATAAACGGGATTGACGTGGTGATTCCAAAGATATTGCACATTTTGTAAATTTCCCATAAAATAGACTGGCGATCAAGTTATTATGATTTAAATCTAAATTAGATGGCATATATTTTTTATTAAAATATCCTTCATAGTGGGGTAGGACAGGTCAAAATAGTACAAGAATAATAAAACTTGAAAATAATTTGCAAATTGCCTATTGGTAAGAAAAAAATATAGGCAGTGATAGGACATTGTAACATGCGAATTGCCCATGGAATATTAGTTATTCCTAAAGGCATCATCCGTGTTTAAATGTTCAGATTCAAATATGATTGTTGCAGGAATGGTCCAGAACTAGCCGAGTATGGACTTGCAATTTAAGCTCGAAAAATGTGCAGGTTGGTCATAAACATGGACAATGGTTGGCTATGAAAATCTATTTTACGTGTATTGCCTTCATTATGCATTCCCTCTCTCCGGTACAAAAGCTAGGCTCAGCACTCACATGGGGGACACATACAGCGATGTTCTTCTTGTGTCTCCTGAAAGTACCTGGCCATATCAGCCATGTCTGGGGAAAAGAAAGCTGCAGCTAACTGGCCAAATCTTCATGATCCAGGAAAAAAAAACGTGACTACAGTTACACCTCCTGCCCAGGCCTTAGGCTCCACCGAGGGCTGCGGGAGTCAACACTGTTTTCTTCAGCTCAATGTGAATGGACTACACTGGTCAACACACTTTTTGTGGCATAAGCTATTCCAACGGTTCTAATGTAATTTTGGGGTGCTGATTGCAAATCTGGCATCAGTTTTTGTCTATCACATCAGATTTTTGAGATATCAAATATTGCATTTAAATAAAAACTGCAGAAGAAAAATATTAAATAAATGTGGATATCTATACAAAATGATATTATAAACACACTATCCTAAGAATACAGCACCACATTTTAACACTAAAGGAGTCACTGACTCGCAACAACTTGCAATAATAAGTGACAGAGTTAATTTCTGGTAAAATCAATGAAAATGGGGTATGCCGATAGCATAAAAATGAGATGTGATAGAGCAAATCTGAGATCATATTTGGAATCGGCACCCTGAAATTAGTCTAAAACAGCTGCAAAAGTCCAGGCCAGAAAAAAATGTTTTTTTTTGTTGACCAGAGCTATCTGCGGCTAAACGCGATGTCATTAATCAATTAAGCCACTTCACACAATATCGACGTCATCTGTTTACAGGAGACACATTTTAGATGATCAGGCAAAGCATTTCCAGATAGCCAATACGACCTTGTCTGTTTCTCACTTCACTCAAAAATATGTCTGTGCACTGTGCATGAAATGTGATTGACATCAAGCCACTGCCACCCTCTATTGTCTGCCATTTTGTATGCATTGGCAACTTCCCCAGAAGCCGGCATTGCCGATCATTCATCCACATCGGACTACAGCTGCCCATCATCACGAGCACCTTAAAACAACGTTGAAACTTTCACAAGGTAAGGTGGACAGACTACACTGCAGTGGTTGAGTGTGGCATGGTCTGCATCCCGAGCACCATCTCAATATATATGAAGCATGCCCAAGTTTTATGGGGGCACTGACCAGAGGCATAGCTAGGGGGGGGGGCAGGGGGGTACATATGTCCTCGGGCGCCAAGGTAAAGGGGCGCCAAAATGAGGCTTACAACGTCACATTATAACTTATTGCGGCGGGCGCGGCAGCCTGAAACTACTGCACAAATCTACACCTCAACCTAAAAGTTTATATATCCCGCCACACACAGCCTACATGTCATGTAATTACATTTTGGTACGCGCGCATATTAAGAACTTACATGGAAGAACGAATTTGCGAATTTCACTGCTAATTTTATTAACAATAGCAGTTTCAATTGCAAACTGTGAGCGGTCGTTCAGCAAATTGAAACTTATTTTGTCGTATTTGCGTGCTTCAATGGGACAAGATCGTCTCAGCGATCTTGCTCTTCTTAGCATTGAAAGAGAAACATTAGAAAAACTGATTTTGATTACGTGATTGACCAGTTTGCGACAGTGAAATCAAGAAAAATGAATCTTTTGTAGACTATGTCAACCAGTCTACGACAGTGACTGAGTGAGCCATGTAATATAATTTCTATAAATTTGCTTCTTTAAATACAATGTTTCATTAAAACATTTTTTATTATTATTCTTTATCCGATGTAATAGGAAAATGTGATTAAACGGGGGGGACGCCAATTTTATAGTTCGTCCCCGGGCGCAAAATATCCTCGCTACACCTCTGGCACTGACAAAATAATCCACTGACAAAAGGTGTTTATGCTATCTATGCCGCATGCCTTGATGCTGAGTGTGCCGAGATACACATGTGCACACAAAAACAAACATGTTTTTTTGAACACTGAGTTTAACATGTTTAATTGTAATTATTATGCTTTGTTTAATTGATTGATCAATCAGTTTTGTATATACATTGTTATTTTTTGGTGTAGTTTTCATAAAAGCCCTCTTGGGTTTCCCACCTCACCTGCACACCTTTTTTAATTTCCACTGTTTGTCTTTCGGTTGTTTTTTTGTGTGCAAATAAACAACGAAAAAAAAGAAAAACCGTGGCCGCCAGTACTTTGCATAACCCCCCCACCATAAATGTGCTGCCAAGATGCTGGACAAGGTGCAACATGTGGCACCGGAGTTGCCCCCTTTACGTTGATATCTTCAAGCCTCCACCCATGCGTCTGAAGTCCGAACACCCAGTGTGGGCATGATCACAGCCCAAAGAGTTGAGCATGCGGGATACCCGCACTGTCTGGGGCGAGGAATGGAGATGCGTGGATGTTGCCTAAAAATAACCTCATCAGAGATCCGTCTGTCCAGATGCCTGGCTTCGACCTGCCAAGGTAGCAATGGGTTCAGATGAACCACTTCCGGTGTGACCTGGGCAGGGTGTGTGTGCCACGTCTGAACATCGATGGGGTGTACTACTAAGTGACAGCCCGCTGTGTGAATGCAGAGATCAGGAGACCATGGCACACATCATCTTCGGCTTTGAAGATCGTCAGGGTGTACCTGGTGGGCTGATTGGCCTGCATGTGCTGGAGGCTGTCACATGGCTCTATGGCTACGCGGATTGACGTCCACTCACAAAACATTGACACATTTAGTATTTAGTTTTCTTGTGTATCTGGTGTGAAAGTCAAGTGAAAAATAATTCGCAAACTAAATAGTGATAAGGTTTTAAATCTTATCTTCCCTTCATTCTCAATGCACTTTTAATTAGACGTTACCAGGATCTCATTGGCAGAATAAACTTTCTCTGAGGCAATGAGTTTAGCATCGTGTAAGCCTACCTGTTTTATACCCTTGAACACTCGGCTGTGATTCAGGAAGACAGCGCTGCGAGTCGTTGGGGTCTGTTTCGAGCCCCTCCTTACACCCACACACGGTGTCCTGAGCCAAGGAACAGGGGACAGTCACCTCCTTATCTGAAAAGAGAAGCAGACACCTCGTCAGCGTGTGATGTTCTTTCTGCAGGACAACCCGACTGGGTCGAGACTTCAGAGGTGTCCTGTTTGGAGTTTTGGTCAGATGCTCGTTCTGTTTAATTTCTTTCATTTCGGGTCAAGCCTGAAATCGGCAGATTATTTTAACTCTATTGTAATATAAAATGTATAAACATACAATGTACGTATGTCAGCAAGCTACTTGCTGTGCTTTCATTCACCTGCTCCACAAATGTTGCACAACTTGCACATCACCTCCTGGTTGTCTCTTTCCATGAATCTGCCCCGAGGGCACGGCTCACACATGGCACCCTGTCCATCAGCTATGCAGTCCTGGAACTTGTACAACCCTGAAGGATGAAAAAATGTGAGCAATGGAGTTGTTATAACCACACTGGACCACAAGTTGGTTCAATGAGACACAGGCTGTACTAACAGTCAACCAGTCTTAAGACTAATGGCTCGACTGAACAATAATTTCCTCAGTAATCAATCACTTTTTGTACCCTGATCGTGGTGAGGTCAAAGGTTTTAAAAAGGCTCAGTTGGGTTCCTTTCCACAAGAGCAGAGCCTGTGACTTGGTGAGAAAAAGAAGCACCCGGTCACCACACTGGTCGTTTCACAGGGGTTGAGATCTGCATGTCTGTGCTTTGCTTTACCTGCACGACACAGCTCACAACAGACTCCTCGTTGAGTTTTGTAGAATCCATCTCCACACTCATTGGTGGCAGACAGCTCCTACGGTAACAGGACATACAGAGAAGATTCACACAAAATGCGGTGATTCGGCTAAAGTCACCAAACGTTCTGGCATGACATGGAGAGTCCCCATGGTTTCAAAAAGGTTGCACTGGTGTCCCCATGAATCAGGATTTTATATACAGTTACATTCGTTGCAGAGGTCGCAAACGGGTTTTGATTCCTTACCCGTACCCGGCCGCACCAGGGTCGCAAACGGCGACCCGTACCCAGCCGTGTAAGGGTAGCCGTTCCCTACCCGTACTCGTACCCTACCCGAAATGAGTGACAAACGGCTACTCAACAGTGACTCACGGCCTACCCGTACCCGACCGCACCAGGGTCACAAACGGCTACCCGTACCCGTACCCGGCTGGGTACGGGTAGCCGGGTATCGGGTAGAGTACGGGTATCGGGTACCCAGTTGCGACCTCTGATTTGTTGTACCCATTGGTCAACTAATTGTTTGGACAGAGGGTGTCGCCACTCACTGTGTGGTACGGGCTAGTGGTTGAATGGGCATGATTACATAAATGAAGAGTTGGATTGTCCCCGGTCGAGACTCCCAGGAATTTGGTTGTTTTACACTTCAGTAATCCCTCGTTTAAAGCAGTAGTAGATGCGTTCCTCAAAAGTGCCGCATTAAGCAAAAATGCATTGAGCAATACAGATGCCCCTGTATGACCAGTCTGATACACACTCTTACACATCAGAATCTGAATATGTATTCATCCTGGAGGAATCCGATGAACTATGAAGCTACTTTTGACAGATATCCATTAGGGGTGGGTAAGAATGTCACAACAACAAACAGTACAAAAACATGATATAAGTGTAAATTAGAAGAAATGTAAAGAAATCACCCAAACACATAACATACTAATAAAACTAAACTATCCCCATCCTACCAGGCAAAGCCCAATGAGGTATTAACCTTGTTTTCAAAAGCAACCTGGCTACCACGTATGATAGCTAAACAAAGTGGCACGTAATTTTGACATTTATGGCACCAAAATAATCTAAATAATCTCAATGCATGTTTCTAAATACGTGGCTGGATGAAGATACACTTTTATTCAGGGTCTTTCCATAGCATGAGCTGGTAGTGGGAATGTTCTGTGATTGTAGAACTCGGCATGTGGTTAGCGACAGCCAGGGTAGTGGTGGCTGAATACATCGTGGTGATGAGGCTAAAGTCAAGTAATCTGTAATGTCCCCAATCTCATACATTTGTAGTGACACCCCACATTGTAGTCGTCAATAATAAGTCTTTATTTCTTCCAGAACAAGACACATGGGGCGGTCTTCAAGGATGCCCTTCACTCCAAGCGTCTCAAGCTATCACGTTTCCCCCCTCTTATATATCTCTGAAGCTCGTTTCTTGAATGTTTCTTGACCCCCTTTCCCTCCAGCCCATCACCTTACACTTTCTCTTTTAGACCACAGCCAATCTTCCTATTAATAGTCCTGTTTCCCCACTCTTTCCATTTTGTATTTCTCCTCAAATCCGTCCAATGTCCCTGCCTCTAACCAATCCCCAGGCCCGTGAAGCTACTAATCAGATGGCTTGTTTGAACTTCCTGATTATCCGTGTCACGTGGTGTCTACCACGTCAGGTGAGTACCGTTAGTAGTGATATATAATCATTACATATTTTCTGAAGCTAAGCAAGATTGCACAAGAGTCAGTGCATCTCATTGGTTTCCAACGTGGAACGGCAAGAGGATGCCAGTCACAAGAGACTTGGAATCTTATTTGGGCTCCCATATTGCAAACGAACTACGTGCACGCACTGTACTGGTACGCGAAAACTTTGCAATGGCGGGTTTTCCAATAGCGGATCTGATGTTTGCGCCAAAAGTATTGTGCCTCGACCAATTCGCATGGTTGACCGCGAGATTCCTGCCTAGATCGTAAAGAAGTGCAGTCTATTCTCCTGTAACACGGTGGTAGTTGCGGTCCTGAAGAACGCCGCGTTATGGAAAAATCGTGTTATAGTAGATAATACATAACATAGGGTGTATAAAGCACAGTCCGCGATAATACATCAGATGGGTACTCAGGCTGAACAAAGACCGAGGTGCTTGGGTAGCATCTAGAACAGGGGTCAGGAACCTTTTTGACTGGGAGAGCCATAAAAGCCAAATATTTCTAAATATATTGCATTGAGAGCCATATAGTATTTTTAACGTATAATAAACTAAATACGTCTTACTTTTAATGCGACTTCTGGTCACGGGACCCGTGACCCGTGAAATTTATCTTCAAAACTAATTTCTGGTTACTTTAAAATGACACAGTATTATTAAGCAATATCACAAGTATTTTAAAATCAGTTCCAAACTGATTTTTTTATTTTATTTTTTTCAACTCAAAATTGTCTGGGAGCCATATACCGTCACCGGAAGAGCCATATATGGCTCGCGAGCCATAAGTTCCCGACCGCTGATCTAGAAGCATCCAGCAGCATCCCAATGCCTTGTGCATTGTCGGTATACTACGGCAGCCATTACAACCGCTTATTCCTACTCGCGCTGTGAAATACTTCCGTTCACTCCATCGCGCTATATCCAATTCGCGTTATGAAAACTACATGCAGCGTTACAGGAGCAGGCGGACTGCACTGTATTCTAACCACACTGCTTGCGATGACATTGCCGTGGAAGAACATACGCCCCATCTTGGCCCCCAGTGCGGACCATCACGGGTTCCAGTTCATGTGCTGTTCCCATCATCCAGTGAGGTAGTGACGTTCAGCCACGCAATTCTTCCTGTACGATTTACAGTTGATTATCGATTATCCGGCTTTCAACATTCTCCGGCGGTCCCGGGCCATCAGACGAAACCGGGAAAGCCTCTCCAAAGGCTGTACCGAGTCTGGCGATTGGCACCGTGTGCGTGACAGAAAAAGTAGCCATGCTTGATTTGTGTCAAATATAATAGTACATTATACAACTATTTCGATTTAAGGCTTTCGTGACTGCAGGGATTCATCTTCTTGGTTCTTTCGGTAAAGTCACGTAGAAGGGAAATAATAAAATAATACAAATAAAACATAAAAGTATGTAATAACATAACATAATAAAATACAATTCTCACTTGTGAGAATTGTATTTTATTATGTTTATTTTTATTCTCACTTGTGAGAATTGTATTTTATGATGTTTTATTTTTATTCTCACTTGTGAGAACTGTATTTTATGATGTTTTATTTTTATTATTTTATTATTCCCTTCTACGTGACTTTACCGAAAGAACCAAGAAGATTATACAACAACTTAAGCAATGAAAATACTGCACATATATACATATTTCATGACTAATAACTGCAGTAATCAAAACATAAAATATACAGTGCGATCTGGCGATAACTGCGTGTAATTCGGCATTCATATCAGTCCGGCGACCGTCAAAACACAAGTTGTTAGAAACAACAGCGGAGTAGTACTAAGTACATTAGCCCATGTCGAGTCTTCGAGATTGGAGTGGTAAGGACAGTACAGTGAATACAGTAACTTTTTACAGTAGGAAATACTTTGTCTATTTGTATGTTTATGTACGCAAACACATTTTAAAAACAACAAAAAACGTATACAACAACTAAAAAAATGTCAAGCAAGAATGTGCAAAAATAAGCAACTTTTTTAATCATGATTGTTGCTTAGCCGGCGTTTTTGAAAATCCTGTACTCCCTTTCCCCCACGAAAGCCGCCGGATAAAAGATGGACTGTAAAATACTTTCTATAAATACATAAACCGGTTTTATATTATACTAGTTTAGGGGCTTTCCACACACGTGTCTATTAGTGTTAACATTTTTTCAGCGCTCTTCACTGAAAACCCTAATGCATAAGGGCCGGTGATAACGAAACTATAAACCAAGGCAGTAGCAATGGAGTCAACATTGGGGGGGACCAAATCTTTCAGGGGGTCTGGAGGTCCCCCCCCCCCCCCCAGAAACAATCTAAATTTGAAGACGAATTTCCTGCCTAAAATATAAAAAATCACTAACACATAGGGTGGACTTTTTATTTTATTTTTTATGTCTAATAGTGTACTACATTGCTCTGTTTTTTTTTCTTTTTTCCTTTTCTTATGGCATTGTGTGTAATGGCAGAGATTAGGGATTAATAAAGTACAACCATAACCACAATCGTATAAACAGAAATCTATTTTATAGCAATATATTGAGCATATTTCAATATTGGGGGGGATGTGTGTGTCCCCCAATATCTATTATAATTACGGCCTTGCTATGAATGCTATAATTGCTATAAATGACTAAACTATGTTTTATTTTACCAGGTGTAAGGCGACCACTGAGCTGCGTAGCTCGTTTTCAGACGAACGACCTGTCTATCACAAACGAAAGATCAACGACATGGCTTGTCATTGCGTGGAAATGTATAGAAGCCAGATACTCTAAACGCGTCTTTTTTTAATGTGGAGGGGAAAACCGGAGGATCCGGAGAAAAAAAATCCACGGGGAGAGAGAAACACGCAAACTCGCGAGCTGCCTGCCGACCAGGGGCTTTGTGGTGTAGCCCAGATGCTCAAAAATCAAACAGATACCCTTCGCAAAACAACACGCCTTGCGAACGTTTAAAAGGCAATGCGCAGATATTTATCGGAGTGTTTGTTGCAGTTTATTTTTTGCCACGGGTATCTGTGGGCTAACGCAGTACTTGACGATGCCTTGCAATGCTAGGTATCTGTTTGGTTTTTTCGAACATCTTAACACAACTCCTGTTTTATTATTGCCAGAAAGGGTAAAAAAAAAACTATTTTTTCCCATCATTTTTTTTATACTGACAAAAAAATTGAGATGCGGTGTAGCAGTTTACACAGCGTCCAGTGGAGCTCTCCGGGGTAGGGAGTCGGGGTTATTTAAGACACTTGCCGCGCTGGAACGGCGATCTCAGGATAGCAAAGTGCAGTGCGAGGTCGTCCTCACCACCACTACGAGAAACGCCAGCGGCAGCAGCAGCAGCAGCCCACTGAGTCGTCCTTGGAGTCCTCCACTTCGTGGAGTCATGGCCACTTCCTTCTTCTGTCTCCGCGGCAGGCGCTGCACGGCTCCTCCCGTGTCCACGGACCCACGCGCTCCGCTTCTCCTGGCCGTGTCCTCCTTTCACAAGTTGCCGTTCAGAACGATGTTCCTAATTCGTCTGCGAGGGGTGGGTGCGTGGGTATGTTGGTTGAGGGGGGTTGACGATTTAAAACGACGTCAAGGTTCGGGATTCAAACAGGCGACTGATGTAATCGTGGTGAATGGAAATGCCCCGCTGTATAAGTTTCACTTTGCGTCTCTTGCGTCAGTATGGGAGGGCAGGTGTGTCACCAGAGAGGCTGGTCTCGATTAACTTTTGTTTCTGACAGCAGGCGGTTAAGGGTTCGCGATTCGAGAATCGAATTTTACCAAATTAAGCCGAAGAACCAAATGTATTGTGAGTGGGTTTTTTTCGTGCGGTCATTGGAGACCGGACTGAGACCATCAACGAACTATACTTGAGAATTCTAGATTTGAAGCTTTCGTGACTGCAAGGATTCATATTCTTAGGTTGTTTCGGTAAAGTCACGTAGGTAAAACATTAAAATTAATAAAAGTAAAATAAAATAAAAATCACGACGTTTCGGAGGCAACACAAGCTTCCGTCTTCAGGTGGAACTGCCACAGCCACGACAGCTGTATCAAGTATTTGAGAAACCCGGTTTAATCACAACTCTTTAAGTCTGCGGGTCTCTTTGTGAATCTGCAGGTCTCTGTGAGTCTATGAATCGTCTGTGTAAGTCTGTCGATCTCGGTGAGCAGGGTCTCTGTGAGAGTGTGAGTCGGTGTGTATCTTTGTGCTTCTGTGAGTCTGTTTTCGTCTGAGTCTCGATGCGAATCTATAATTCGTAATGGGTTCGATCGAGACCCTGACGCCTGCTGTATATTTGGAATTTGCATGTGCTCCCCGTGGTGGTCGCGTGGATTTGTCTCCAGCTCCTCCGGTTTTTCCCTCCACATTTAGAATTAACATCACGCGTTTAGTGTCATTTGGCTGCTATAAACGTCCACGTGATGATGATATCAGCCCCTTCGTTGAGCTGCCATCAGGGGCCTTCCCTGGTATAATAAAAATAGTTTATAGTTTTATAATGGTTAAAAACAGAGATGAATATGCAAAGGAAACATTTTTAGGGGCCAATTCATTAGGGATCACAAGACACCTGGACCACTGCTGTAGAGTAACTTGCACAGTTACATGCCACACAGGAACCCTCCTGCTGCAAGAACTATAACCGAGTCGCGTTGAGGCTATTGCAAATGACGACTTGTAATTGAATGAATGAATACATCGGATAAAGCTATGCGGGCAACTTGTTTTTCTATAAGCACAATTAATTGAAACAACACAAACAGCAACAGCACAAACCCGTTAGATTGTTTACAAAGAGGACTTTCCACACACATGGCCATCAGCTCTTCTTTCGTATGGCGTTGTGAAAGGCAACAGTTTTTTTTTTATTAACGATCGTCATAAATTAATGTAAAGGTTCATCATCCAGTCCAATGATGTGGTTGACGCAGTGTGGATTTCAGCGATACCGCCAGGATGTGCATGGATGGAGCCAGTGGCGGCTCCTGCAAAATCTCTCAGGGGGGGCAAATGTCTGGATGATTGATAAGGATAAGGTCCACCCATGCAATGGATAAATTAACAGCTTAAGCATGTAAAGGCAACTTCACTTCTTTAATATTAATGAAAAATAAAGTGACTCTTACAATACATCTTGTTTGTTTCTATACTCACTATTAAAACAAACCACTCAAGTTTCTTTTATTAAAGATTCCACTAGGTGGCCACAAATAAAATTGTTGACTGAAACGTGCTTACGTATGATGACGTTAGCACGTATGATGACGTAAGCACGTTAGTGCGAGCCCTCCCGGAAGCCATAGAGAATGCATTGGAGCGCCCGCTGTTCGAAAAAAAACATCTTTGAATGTAAGTCTATGGGGCCACTCGGGGCGATTCTCAGCTGGAGGGAAATCGCCCAAAAAGAGGCGGTACTCCACAGAACGTAGCATGACGCTGATTGGACTATATCCAGAGGCACAGTGACGGCGAGCGTGACTCTGTGGTTGAATGACATTGGTGGTGCGTCGCCCAATCGCCCTAATGAAGAAACCGCCCCTGGATGGAGCATTCATCGGTGATGTGCTTGATGGTTTGGACTTCTCCACAGTCGCAGTTGGGTGATTCTTTGATCTTACATTTATGGAACGTGTACACGCATCTGCCGTGTTGTGTTCGAGCGCAGTTCAGCGTGGTCCATAGTCGTCATGGAAGAGAGAATTCCGGTACTTCCACCGTTGGATCGTGAATGATGTTTTTGTTTGCCACGTCCATAGCCACCCACGATTCAGACCACCGAGTGGCAGTGTCTTTATTTTCGGCGGCTAGAGCGGAGGCGCATATCGAGAACGGTTTCCTGGATTTTAGCCTTGGGCTTAGGGGTTCCTTTAGATCTTGATGGAGCAGCAGAGTGAAGTTTTTCATTATCTTGTTGTACTCCCGTGTTGTCGCATCATCGCGTCGGATGTTGGCCGGAGCAATATTCGCCAGCACAGGAAGCCACGGGAGTGGAGTAGACTTTAGGGAACTGCTGATGATAAGAAGCACGTTAATTTCCGCGTCGACAAGGTTCGTGTGAGGGCTTGCACCCCACACCGGGGTACATGACTCCGCAGTCGATTGAAGAAGGGCCTGCGTCGAAATCTTCAACTTGCTAGCATCGCTTCCCCAGGTTGTTTCTGCAAGTTTCTGAATTATATTCACTCGTGCTTTCGTTTTACCTTTAGCTTCTTTGATGGTTGCTAAGCATCCGATCCAGGATAACTCGTATATACCGAGGGTGTTCATCATGCCTTAGCTTTACCCCATAGAAATGAACGCTTTTGAAGCTTGTCTGTTATTCAGGTGGAAGGCGGAGACAACGCTCTTCGATGGGTCAGGTTTTAGGCGCCGATTCTTGAAGTATTCTTCCAGAGTCTTCAGATATTTTTCGAGGACTGCCTCAGTGTCCTCCCTTTTCCGTGCTTGAGTTGCGAGTGTGATATCATCCGCATATGTGATTTTACAGCAAGATGTCGCTGGAATATCGCTAGTATTGAGATTGAACAGCACTGGTGCCAGAACTGATCCCTGCGGGAGTCCATTGTTCAATCTTCGTGGACTGCTGGCAGCTTCATCAAGGTGGACGGTGAACCATCGGTTGCTCAGCATTTCGGTGATTAGTCTAATTGTCGGGTGGTAAGGCGCAGCTTTCGCAAGCTTCAGCAGGAGTCCCTTCCACCATACGGTATCGTAAGCTGAAGAGAGGTCCATGAAAGCTGTTGCAGTTTTGAGCTGGCGTTCGAAACAGGCTTCGATGTGAATTGTTAAGGCAAACACCTGGTCGCAACAATTTGGACCAGTTCTAAATCATGCTTGTTCCTGGGGAACTATTTCTTCAAGCGTGGACATCAGCCTTTTGAGCGGAAGCCACTCCATTAATTTGTAGCAGATGCTGAGTAGGGAGATAGGGCGGTAGTTTTGAGCGTCCGATGCGCCCGTGCCTTGTTTCAGAATGGCTATTATCCTTGCCTCTTTCTACTCCTTCAGAACAATGCCTGTGGAATGGATGTCAGTGAAGAATGTGGCTATCCATTTTCTCACTCTTGGTCCCAAGTTATTGATGAATTCTGGATAAATAGCAAGACCTGAGGCTTTCCCGCATTTCAACTTCCTCCGCTGAGAACAGACGGGATAATTCATAGGTTTCTTAGCAGTTATCTAGTGTGCGATAAAGTTATTTGTAGACTGAACGTCTTATCTGTTTGTCGATTGAAGTTCGTGAATTGTTAATAAGTTGCCTAGCAATCTCGTCAGGACTGACTTGCGGAGGTTTATAAGCTGGCGTCGCGGCTGCTCCCATCAGCCTCAGGAGGCCCCAGGCTTCATGGCTCGATTTTGCAAAGTCAAGTGCCTCAACTGTTTTGCAGCACCTTTCTCTCCTTTGCAAATTCAGTGACTCGAGTAAGGCTTTTGCAGTCTCCTGCTTCCTATCAGCATTGCATTTCTGGAAAAACTGTTCGCTTACTGGAGTCCAATATGGGGTGAAGACCTTTCTGCAGCCTCTTGCGATGTTGGCGTTTGCAACTACCTTGATGAGACCAACGAAGTGAAGATATTTCGATTTAAAGCTTTCGTGACTGCAGGGATTCATCTTCTTGGTTCTTTTGATAAATTCACGTAGAAGGGAAATAATACAATAATAAAAATACTGTAAAACATAATAAAATATTATGTTTTATATATAAAAAGATGAAGTGAAGATAATTGACTGCACGTGGAGGTATCATTCCAACTGATTCTTCCAAGTCCACCGTGAAATTCACTCATTCAGGTGATCTCAGATTCCAACGTGGTTTTGGTCTGCAGCGGAAGAGCAGAATCTGAAGACCGATATGGTTCACTACAGGTCTATGTTGGCTATTTGAAAAGTCGTCTAGGACTTTTCTCATCGACGGCATCGGATTTCCGTTCTAATCCCGAGTCACAAAACATAAATCGGATGTATAGCACTTTTTCCACCTCGCCGACTTGAAAGTACCGTGGTCTTTTGCGTCATAGAGCAAGCGCTGGTCTTCTGCCGCTGCCCATGATGTCAGTTGTTCACCAGCTCTATCGTTGGCACTATAGCCACACAAGGTGTGGTGGCTGTTGAAGTCGCCTATGTGGATGATAGGGTGGCTTGGCTGTGGTAATGCTGGACACGGCCATTCCATACCTGGAGGCTTGTAGACATTGACCACTGTCACGTCATTGATCTTGATGGCAATGTAGTGTGGCGAGGTATGTGGCATGAGCTGGACCGTGTCCTTCAGGTCGTTCTTTATGTATGTGTAGGGGTGTTACAGGAGGGAAACGGACGAGTACACAGGGGTGTCCACATCCACGTCCGCAAACGGTTACCACCCTGGGGGGGGCTGTGGGGGGATGCTGTGATCCCACACAGCCCCACCCCTCGGTGGCAAGTTGGTATATAAGGCGGGGAGCGAGGGGGCTCGTGGTGCAGTGTTGGGGAGCTAAGGAGCGAAGAGCCAGTGAAGACTGAAGACCGGGCAGATAGGCCCTGGATCTCCTCTGACTCGCCGTCCTTCTCAGGACCGGGCAGAGCAAGCCAGTGGCGCGGCCCCAGAGCCTCAGAGTCGATGTTCTTCTAAGAGCCGGCTCTGTCTGG